GAATAATAAGGAGCATGACTCTCACTGTTTCTCCCTGGAAACTCTCGCTATCCTCTTGTTACTGTGCCATGATTGTCACTCTCTCCTTTTCTGTGTATAAATAACAGCTCAATGCCCAGCTGAGTTCACCTCCCTTTCTTGGGATTTATGAAAAAGCATTCTGGGAAACCCGTAGAAACACTAAGTGAAGTAGAAGCAAGGCACACTGAAATAAATTGAGCACACTGAACAAAATGGACATTGCAAAACTGAGATAAGAGTTTCGGACTACTTGCTATGGCAGGGTGACAAATCCTGGAAGGCTCCCAAAGGAACACTACAGAGTAGATAATAATGGTCATGTAAACATGAGGTGGCCAAAAGCATCAGCGAGCTACTTATACTGAAAAATATTGTACTGTAAAAGGCAAAGTGATCAGACCAAGTAGAATAAAAAATTGAGGAAACAAACCCTGGCTCTAGATAGGCCCTTTGGTGTTTAGTCACAATGTCACCAAATCCTTTTCCTTTAAATACAAAAACTTGAAATTGCTATTGATTTTTTAATTTCAGTGAATAAACCAAAATATTGAAATATTCCATTAAAAGGGGATAGTTTCATCCAACTCTGCACTCTATGGAGCTTTTTAGAAACTTTTAATGTGAGCCCAATGTTTTCTTTATGACCTGTAAATGTACTGTAAGGTTGAATATCCACTTTCAGCAGCAAAATTAAAAAAACATTGATGCACCCACTGTACACGACCTGCCCAGCACCAAACAGCAGACAGACACAGTTAGAGACTTACTGGTGAAGAAAGTCAAACATCTAGCAGATTTATCTGCTGGTGGACACGAGAGTTAACATTGGACTTATCAGGTGGATGCTAACACAACTCCAAATGCATGCTAATGTAACTGAGTCTGCGGAATGCATATGGGCAACTGTTTGCTAGCATATTAACATTGCCCTGTCTATCTGTCAGCTTGTGTGGAGTTCTTGCCCCAAGGGGCTAAAAATTAATAATGCAGCTTCAACATAAACCTTATTGTCACTCTTTTGCTCAAACACTAACAAACAATGAATTAACTGGAAGCACATTATGCTCTGTTAACCTGCTGTCACATGTTGCACCCTCAGTTTTTTATATAAAAACTGCAATACATATTGCCTTGTTTACAGTATCAAAACATATATCTCGGCCCTGGCTGGTCAGCCTCCATTAAAGTGTACCAGTTACATGGTACCAGGTACAAGTAAAAACACATAGAAAGGTAGTCCTCTATGCTTTAGTAAAAAGACACACATTGTTTTAACCATTTTCATGAGAAATCATTAAAGAACTTTGAGTGGAAACCACAGCCACTGGTGGCTGATGAAAGTGGTGTAATAATAGCTCTATCAGTTAAACCTTGTGGTGTTGTTGCAGTGGTTGCAGATCCACCTTATCTTTAACACTAAAGAAAAATGTTAAAGCTCATACGCTCGTATTACCAACAGGCTGCTGAGCTGACTAATATTTTCAAGTCCTGTCCAAATGAGCTGAATGCAATGCATAATCAGTCACTCACTGCTAATGCCTAATTGCTATGGCTTTCTACACAGCACATCCTGCAGGAAATGGACATCATCATGGATAAGTGATTTGTTGGCATGTGTGTACATGCATGTTTAAGTGCGCCCCGTCTACATGTGTGCGTGCGTTCAGCTGCATGCGCTTTATGTGAGCGATCCAGTATCAACCCTGACAACACGGCTCAAGCCGTCAGTGTAGCCTGGCACTGATAGGATGTCCAGACTGCTGCTGTAATGGCCTCTATCCACCACCCGGTCCTTCAATTACGGTTATCATGTCAGCCTACCGAGCTCCAATTCAATCAGGCCTGTTTGTGCCGCTCTCATCCACACACACACACTGGAAGAGGCTCTGGCTGCACACATGCCCTGACAACCCGTCAATAAGCCTCACCTCTACACTCAGCACGCCCAGCACAGATCAGATTTTTGTCTGAGAAATAAAGGAATCTTTTTCAGGCAAAATTTGTCTTCAATTTCATTTTGCTAAATAAAGTAAATTTGTGAGAAAATCCGATTGTGAACCCAGTATTGTGAATTGTATCGATTGCACCCAAACACATGCACACACAGAGCTCATACATACCAAGGGTATTAGTTTACTAAAACTAGGAGTGAAAAACTATTTACTGAAACACTTTCTAAAAAACAAAACTCATTTAAATGATATTGTGTATAAAACAAAATAAAATAAAATAAAAATACACAGGAAATGTTAAGGAGGCATTGGAGCTTATGTTAAATAAGACTGGGCTGTCTTCAGGACTGGGAGTCTTAACTTCTTAACTCTTTACCTTGACAAATACCCCCTTTATTATAATAAATTAAAAATAAAACTCATTTTGAAACTAATAAAAACTAAAACATTTTAAACAATACTGAGACTAAACAAAAATAAAAACTAATAAATAATATACAAAACTATAATTACTCCGATACATCCTTACACAAACATATTAGTAATAGCTGCTGTGTAAATTTGATCTTTCATTCAAATGTGAGAGAAAATTAAATATTCAAACTGTATTTGCTTGTTCAATTTCAAAATGTACAGCTTATGAGTGCAACAGAGCATTTTAAATAGACCTATTGCATGCCTTATTGACTTTATCAGTAAATTAAGCTTATAAATAAAAATAATCGAGCAAAGCCGTGCTGATTGGGTAATCAGGACACAGAAACATCTGAGAAGCCGATTGTGGCAGTATTTTAACGCAGTAGATGTCAAAATGACCAACAAAGATAAGATCTGTGCGTCATTCCAGCAAAACCAGACTCATTCTGGTGCCGTTTATTGTATTTTCCACGCACTGCTTCCCCTTCTTTTCAGCCAAAATGAAAAAAAGCTCAGTGACTCCCTGTGACTTGCGGTGGAAGGGGCGGGGGCGCTGATGAGGGGTTTGGGAATTGGCGGAGGCTCTGTTTATTGCAGTGATGTTCCTGAAACAAGCCCCAATAGATGGGCCAAATAAATCTCTGTATCATTATGTAAGAGAGGCCAGGCTGTCCCCTGGTGGAACCACCGTGTGCTCAGGGACCTTCTGCAGCGTAACTGCATCCTCCGTCACTACCCCCGCCCTTCCCCACCAACCCCCAACACTCCACCCTCCTCTGCTCTCCAACCCCCCGCACCAACAGCCCTATTCCCATACCAGCTTTACACTCCCCTGGTATTCATCCAATACCAAGAGAGTCTCTCTGTTTACTCCACACACAATCTGAGATGAGAGAATGAAAAAAGAGCTGCTTTTGCAACATTCTTAAGCCTGCTGGGCATTTCTACAGTAGAAACCAATAACTACAAGTATGGCAATACTGTGTAGGATGTGTATGATATAGACTGTACAATCAACTCAGGATCAAAGTCAGCAATGATCCAGTTCTATGTGTCCAAACCGATCATTAAATGAACATTTTAGAGCCATGTCAGCTTCCATAGTGCAGAAACAATTTAGTTAATAAAATAGTCAAACAGAATATTAACCAATAAACATTCTGATAACAGTTTAAAGGTTTTAATTTACCCAATAAAATACTAAACATCTGCTGTTTATAGTTATTAAAAAAATAGGATTTGTTACCATGGGGCTTTTTGACTATTGATCATAGAAATTAGCAATTTGAAGATATTATTTGATTTGGTAAGTTGGACTAAACAATTCATTGATCAGTTCCACCAGCTCCTGTCAGCTCTTGGAAACTAGTGATGGGTGGCAGGAGCCTTATGAGTTTCTGGGGATTTTTTTCCTGCCAAAAAAAGATCTGAAGCTTCAGGACACTGAACTCAGCAGATGTGATTGGTGCCATTCACGACTGGGGCCACAGCATGGCATGGTCACAGTACATTATTGATCTCCTAATATAGTATCAGTCCCATGAATACATGGTGTTTATTTATAATATTCTTGTTCAGAATGTTGCACTAAATTCACATATTATTGAGAAAATACTACAAATAATTCATATATGTCCACATATCAAATATTTTGTTATTATGAAATATTCATGTGCCTTATTGCGTAGTAAAGGAATTCCCAACCAAGGGTACTTGTAACCCCAAGGGGTAGGTGGAAAAACTATGTAGTAGCACGACTAATTTGATAAAAGAGAAATTACGATATACTAAAAAAAAAATAATGTATCAACATATTGAGACAGCTGTGTAATGTGATGTGACTGGAGAATATTAACTAAAATATTACTTTTATTACTTTGTATAAGGTCGAATGTACATATTTATGGTCATCTACATCGCTGCATTTCTCAATGTATTCCCCTATCTTCTCGTCCCCCAGTGTTACACTAGCAGCAGCTGACTATATACAATAGTGTAGCTGCAAACTCGCAAAACTGTCAAAGTAATGAAGCGCTTTCAGAAGCATCTGTGACGTTTGAAGCTTTGGACATCATCAATTACGTGGTAGTCGTCATTTGACACAAGCTCCAATACAACAGCCCATTTCACAAGGGTGAGACCAGTTCTGACCATCACTACTGAAAACTAAATGATTGGGACAGAAAAGGCAAAATGTGCTGCTGCTGGAATATTTGTATTTCTAACTGTGTGATGGGGCACCACAAAAAATTCAACCCTGTGAGCAGCCATTTCTGCACTGTACATACAATGATTTCCCTCTGGTTTTCTGCATGTTTAGTGTGGACAATACCACCTTATCAAGACTTTGTTTATTCAGACAGGAAGAAAACACCCTGCCATCTGGAATGGCTCGGCTTTACTGATCATTAGAAACGCTACACACACACACACACACACACACACACACACACACACACACACACACACACACACACACACACACACACACACACACACACACACACACACACACACAAAGCAGAGCTCTCCCCTCCCCTCATTAATCGCTGCTGCCCATCAGCTCTGTCAGTTAGCAGCTGTATAAGCCATTAGGCTAGTGCTACTCACCCTGTTAGGACCACCACAAAGTCCATTACATTCCAGCCATTACGCAGGTAGGAGCCTTTGTGAGCAGCGAAGCCCAGGGCGATGATCTTGATGCCAGCCTCAAAACAAAATATTCCAATAAAGTAGGGCTCCGTGTCGTCCTGTTGTGAAAAAAAGCAGAGCAGAGTGAGGAGGGCTCATGAAATTACAGACTTCCATCTGGGCACATCAATAAAGTCTGATATTGTCCAGTCAGTGTCAATGTCATCAACCTGCAATAAAAGGAAGTTGTGTTAAACAAACTGCCAAACTAGGAAGTGCTGATCAAATACAAATCAAGATTCTGTTACTTCATTGTACTGTAGTTGTAATATGAGAACGTGTGACCAGGCAGCCGCCATTCTTTCCTGCAGCTCAACTCGCAGTATGTCACCTCCGTAAATCCCACTGTTGCAATACACATTGTCTTGTTTACAGTATCACAATATATTGAACCCCGTGAAATCTGTATCGGTATTCATATTGTATCACCAGATTCTTTCCAATACACAGCCCTAGTAAGGAGTGCACATAGTAGAGCCGATTAGTCGGCTCATTGATTCGTCACTCAACAGGAAATGAATCCCCTACTATTTTGACAATTGACAAATCATTTCAGTAATTTCTCAAGCAAAAAGGCACAGCAATTGTTGGTTTCTCGTGTGTTAGGATTTGTTGCTTAAATGAGAGGACTTGTTGATTTTCTTTGTATAATATGACAGTAATACATTTGGGGTTTGGACTGTAACTCTGACAAAACAATTTGAACAATCAGGTTCTGAGAAATTGCTATGTTTTTTTTTTGCAAACTTCTTCCATTTAAATGATTAAACAATTCATTGACTAATAGAGGAAAAAATTGGCAGGTTATTCGATAATGAAAACAATTGTTGGTTACAGCCCTAGCACACAGAGCCACAGCTCCCTGACAAGAGTCAAGAAATGCTCATTTGTCTCCAGAATGTTTACTGGGGGTTACATAATAGCTTGGTTAAGACAGAAAAGCTATACAGATTTTATAATGCAGTGACACGTCCTGATGACACATCTGATCACTTCATATCGTTATGAACTTCGTGGTATGTCTGTCAGACTGGGTTTCAGCCCATCTCAGGGAGCGGATCAATGAAAGTGGGCAGCTGGGAGGCTCCTTGCCTCGGGGAGTGACATTTCATTCTTAAAACAGCCCTGCCCCTGCCGCCGCCAGCTCTTTGATTGGACAGACAGGTTCACAGCACTTGCTTCTTTAATGGAAAGATTTAACAGAGAGCTGGGGTGGGGGGAGGGCGCAGCAGGGGTAACCCAAGGTAATGATACACGGGGGGATCAAAGGCAGCTCTGCAGGGTTCTGCTTAACCTGCAGCGCTGAGGAGGGGGGACCCTATCTACACTGAGGACAATTTATTTATTTATTTTTTGTACATATTTTGGCTCTGAAATGTTTAAATCTATGAACATGTGGACTAGAAAAAAGGGAAGGATTGGATTAAGCATAATTCTATTACTTGATTGCAGCAGTCTGCAGCTGAAAATAACAGATCACCATGTTTCTTTGAGCTGCTTTACAAACTAGAGCCTACGCTAGAATTATTTCACTTGCAGAGGGGCATCAACAAAGTATAAGTCAGATAAATCTGTCAATGGAGTCACAAAAAAGAGACCAAAGCAACAAACAAACACATATTTTCTACTGTATGAGACATGAAGAGCTGAACAGTTAGGAAATGAAAAGCAGTCACGTGGCTACTTACCAAACGCTCTGACATCGGTGTTTTGTCTAAGGCCGGTAGGTGTTGCTCCAAGGCCAGTACAATGCAGTTCGCTATAATGGTGGCCAGGATCATGTACTCAAATAGAGTGAGAGTGTTAAAGAAAGCAAATTCACAGCGGCATTAAACCAACACATCAAAGCATAGGAAGTCAAATTGGACAAATCTATCAGTTTTTTTTACTAGCGCACGCATGAATGTCCGATTCGTTCCATCCTACCAGGATAAATCCCTGGGAGCCCACAGACTCTAACAGACCAAAATCCAATGCAGCATACAAAATAGTGTAGGTACCAAATCCATACTACATACACATTAGATTACTACATTATACATACTAGAGTTTTTTTAGATTATTCTCCCACAACACAATGTACAAAGAAAATAAGTCTGGGATGCTAGTGAAACAGCTCACCTTATAAATATATAACAATTGCATTTTGGGGAAAAAATGTCACTGTTAAGTTTGTAAAGTTGCAATTTGATAGACTTCGAGTGGTGCACATATTGTACAATCTGTTTTGTTTGTGATGTCTTGTATACTTACTGCTAAAACAGTAAAGATAGTATATAATGTGTAATGTAATAGAAGAAGTAATGTAGTATGGAAGTGAGACAAAAGTCAGATTTTAAGAACAGTCAAAATAAAAGTGGCTTCAGTGAATATATCACATGACACCAGGGTTTTTTTTTTTTTTACTTTTTGACTTAAAAAAGCTGCCTCCAGAGCCACAGAAGACCTTATCAAACAGTTTCCACTCCTCATTTAAACCAGTAAACTGAAATGTTTACACACGTGGTGGGATGCGCCTTTAACCGCAATGTCCACAAACTAGTTGGTTAGCTAGTTGTATTTATATCCCCATATAGTCCTCAATGAATCCAACAAACAACTTCACAGATCCTCTCTTTTCCTGTCAGATAAAAGCACAACAATCACCATTCTGTTGATCTTCGTTAATATGCAACATTTCTGCAGTATTAAGTAAGGAAAGATTATAGGTCCCTCTCCCCTCTATGCAGTGCACCGCTGGTACGTCATTAGCACTACCACTCCAACACCCCCTCGGTAGGGTTCCAGCTCTGCCAGGAGGACTCAGTATAAGGAGATGGACAATGGACTCCAGCTACCCGTGGGCAACAATAGATTCCCCCCAACAGCACTGCATCATTGCTCTGCATCAGGATAAAGGCTTCAGTAGGATGATAAATGTTGTCAGCACTAGGGGTAACCAACCAGTGACTTAAGTAATGGAGGCCAATATACACCTTACTGTGAAATGAATTGCAACACCCCTGTTTTACCATTGACTTTGCCTCAAAAAAGGATCCAAATCTCCACCAGTGAGAAATTATTTTGCTGGTAAGTCAATTCACAAAACTCAACAGGTGGCATCCAAGCTCACAATCAAACCATATCAATTAAAAAACGCACCAACAGCATATTTCAAACCAGCATCCTGCTGCGTTTTATTGCTGCTGCTTGTTTGTTTGGTGTCACACCCATACAGATTGCCACCGCCTTGATGCTGAGGCCAGCCCTCCGTTTGCTGGGAGTTCAGCACCCTGGACAGCACCATCTGCAGACAGCCTTCACTGAAAAGTCAGTGACACCCTACACAATGGTGTCCATAAATCAACTTTAAACCTTGCCTTGATGTGCTCTGTGTCCTAAGCAGAGTCGTGAATTCAGCATCAGGATAGAAGGCATGACCACAGGTTTCACAACACAGACACACAGAAATATTCCCTGATTAAGATCTCTGAGACAAATTCTATCAAATGAGAGTCCAAGAACATAAAATACCTTTACAGGAATCCCCTGTACAAGAAGACTTTAGTGAAGCAACATGTTTTGCACTCTCCAAAGGATGTACCTTTTGGTAATATAATAATAATACTATTAAAGTTCCGTTTTCTGAGGCAAAATGTAAAAAGAATGTTGCTGAACTCCATCAGAAATGTGTCTCTTTGAGGTTAACTTGTCATACCAGGCAGTCATAAAATGGTTTAAGACCTTGCAGAACATTCATTCTACAGGGGAAAAAATCGACTGAGGAGCTCCTAACTGTGGCACAAGCTGCCGCCCTTCCCTCTAAGGTGGTGGACACAGGAGAACCAACTGTGGAAGTTTACCTATAAATTGATATAAACGCTTTATTGCATGGGCCGAATTAAAGTTTCTACCATATCGTTTCGTTTAAGACAGTGTATCATATAATAAAAACATGTATCTTCTGCCGGTAAGCAAGGGACCTTAAATTGACACATTCATAGGCGGAGTTCGGCGTGGTGATCTCGCTTTATATCGGATAGAACGGCATGTATGCGGGTTAGACTGGGCTGTAAGGATATGGCCATTCAGTGATCTTTTTGGCATATTTCCGTATGATATTATCCTCACTGAAGATGAACAAGGAGCGGTTAACGGTGATGCAGTTCTGTTTGACAGGAATGGGGTTGTAAATAGCCATGGTCCTGGCTCTCTGGGCCATCGACTGCTTGTACATCCTAGGGACCCCCGGAGGCCCCGGCTGCCGGATGGCCCCTCTGGCCTGGCCCGCGGGACAGCTGCCTCCATATCGGCTGGACAGTTCGTCTTCAAAGCGAGCCATTGCGGGATAGCACAGATCTTGCTGGAGAAACCAAAACTGACACCAGAAAAGAAATGGAGAAGAAGCATCACAACACACACTGTCGTCCCGTCCCCCAGGTCTTTTAGGAGTCAAACATTCACAACAAAACGAGGAGAGGGAGGCTCTTTTTTCACCAACGTTAGTCTGTTATCTCCTCGTCTCTGCCGCTTCCCGTGCTGTCACTCTCCGCGACATGAAATTGTTGCTCAAAGTTTAGATTATCACATGCCATGATGCATCATTTTTCCTGGGTGTTCCTCCTCCGACTGGCTGCCTCGGTTCTCAGCTGAAATACACTGGCGTCAACGTTTCAAGTCCATGCTACGGGATGCGCCTACCACCAAAACCCATGTAAAAAACTGTCACTTTAACACAAAATGACTACAGCAGACAAAATACCGCGAAAAAACGTCAGCGCGAGGAGTCAACATATATTATTATATATTAAAAAAAGCGTCCACAAACACAATTTCTGTTCCCCTAAAGACTCGTTCTCCGCTGCGACTTGAATTATTCTTCTTTGAATCAACTCGCCCCACGGTCCAGGTGAGTAAAACACGCCACTGTCAGTCTCTTTTTGCCGTTAATTCGAGGAGAAATCACAGCTGGGTAGCTTCTCTATAAACTCTCCGTTAATGTGAATGTGAAGACACCACTTTTTTCACTGCTCCGTTTCCACAGACCCCCACGTGACCGAGAAGACGCCAGCCAGTGGCTCCACCTGGACCGGCCCTGTTTCCATAGCAACAGGGAGGAGAGCGCGCCACACCGAAGTAAAGGTACATCGAGTAAACAAGCTTTACTTCCGTAATCACTTTCAAAATAAGAGCACGTTTATAACCAGGCATAGCAGATTTATACTGTAAAGATAAAATATGCAGAGTAAATCAAAGTGTATTGAGAGAATTAAAACACGAAAAGAATTCAAATTGGAATATAACATATGTATAGCTAGTGTGTGCCCAGTGTGGGATAAAACTTCCGGTCAAAAACTTCAAAGTAAAACAAGTACACATCTGTTTCAACCATCTATGGTTTCAACAATTCTTGCAGTTAAACTATTAACCCCATAATACAAAGATTTTTTTTTTTAATTAATCAAAAAAAGGACAGCCAATTTATTATTTAAATTATTAAAATTGACATACAATTACAACATAGATATTTTGACACATTTTAGCTATTTATTTGCACAGGTTAAAATCAAATCAAACAAACGACATGTATTAAATTAATTAATTTATAGGGACAGGAAAATGCTTTGTAATTACATTTACTAAAATAATTTGAAACTAACATGACACCATTAAAGATATTGATCTTACATCTCATATTATCGTCGCTGTCGGACTTCGTCCGTGTTGTCTGCCACGGTGGCTTTCCAGTGTTGTCGCCATCACTGTCTATATTCCAGTCCTCACAGTGGTCTTCATCATCACCATCACTGTTTACATTTATGATGTCTTATTTATTCTCCTCTACAGCACTTTGGTCAACTTTGGTTGTTTTTAAAGTGCTTAACAAATAAAGTTGGATTGGATAAAGAAGGACACAAGTGTGAATCAGAGGTTTAAGTCTATTGCTAAATTGCACTGAAATATGTCATTTTTAATCAAAAGAGAAATTGGTTAAAATTAGAGTTCCATAAGTTACAAGCTTTGTATTGTTTGGAAATATGACTGTCCAGTTAAGGTAAAGTGAATCTGTGAATTCACTTGAAAATAAGACATGAAATGAAGTGGAAGGTTACCTCTTTCTGAATTGTACCTTTTGGGAGAACACCATATTATAAATTGTAATTTGTAACATGTAAGTTTTCCGAAATAAAATGACAGAAGAATGAATCTTCATAAAAGAAAATGATGTAATGACATTTCAAATATTAAAGCCCTTAAAAGTGCACCATCATGTTCTATTATTATTTTCCATTATTATTTTTTGAATCAATGGCTGGTTTCTGCAGCTGCAATTATGAAGAAACAGGTTAAGGTTGTGACTATGTACAATCTCTGTAATGACCAGAGGAGCATTTTGGCAGCAACCCTGCCCAGTAGCCGGCAGTTTTCTGTCTGCTGAGGTCCAAGCAGAGTTTAGGATGCTTCAGGGGATTCTAGCAGTAAAATGAGTAACAATTTAATTTCACTAATTTGTTTCGCTAGAAATTATCTCAGATGGAGAACGTAGAAGAATAATGACTGTAACTTCACATTTGACTCTCATCTCTATTATCTGACCACCTACAGTGAAGATGAAGATTTTTATGAATCCCAGTCTATGGTTTGTGTAGTTTTCTGATATTGTTTAAATATTAGTACAAAAGTAAATGGACAACCTGTCCGTTTACTTTTGGTCTGAGGTATTTTTCTTGGTCTGTTCTAGAATAGAATTGTTTTGTGTTTTAAGACAGAAAATATCTAAAATGCATTATGTTATGGGCAAAATGTTTGTGTACATTCAGTATGCTGTATGTATACTGTTGTGTACTTCTGGTCTTTGTCAGTTTTTCCTGGTTTTGGCCCATTAGTTCCGGCAAAGGGAAATGTCAATGCAGTATTTATGCAGGTTTTAGCAAGTTAAACATCAGACTTTTTAAGACCATTATGAATGCAATTTAAGACATATTTCACATCCATAATGGCAAAAAAGTACGAAGCATATGAAGGCAAATCAGGATTGGTTCTATATATGTTTCATTCTGTAGTTCCAATGTTAACTTCATTAATCTAATAAATGTTTATAACTTGTAAAAATCATACTTAAGACATTTTAAGGCATACAATTCTGATTGTTTTTTAAAGTTTTCAAGACCCCATGGACACCCTGTAATGCTCATCATAAAAAATTATATTTTGGACAGTGTGCTTACAATTTCGCAGCAACAGTTAGTGCTTATCCCTTTCCTGTTTCAACATTAAAAAATTAAGATCACAAAGACATGGTTTCCATTTTGGTGAGGAAGAAGTTGACTGGCCTGCTTAACCCCATCCAGCACCTTTGGGATGAACCGAAATGCCGACCGAGAGCCCGCCATAAAAAACAAAACTTAAAGATGCTTTTAAAATGTGTTTAATTGCTAATTAGACATGTAGTAAAAAGCACGTTCATAGACAAGATCAGACTACCAAAAACATTACTCCACTTCATTAATCCACAAATATAAGACTTTGCAGTATTAAAGGAAGAATTTATGAATGTTAAAATCCTCTGTTAAGACTTTTTAACCTGCTTGCTGGCTCTTTAAAAGTAGTTAGACACTGACACGCTGCAGTGTTCTTCAGATAGAAAAGTAACCTTATTAGGTGTATAAATAAATCTGTCAGGTGTTTACCTAATCAAAGCATCACTCTTACGTAGTATCTGGTTGAGAAGGCAGTGTTTCTGACATTAGAGAGGTCACAGAATGTGTCCAACAGAAAGAAGGATCAGTGGTCATCAGTGAGTTTCTATCTGCTGGAAGCTGAGTGGCGACACTTGAGAGAACCACAATGGCAGCTGAAGAACTTGCTCTTCACCCTCCAGTAGTGATCGCCATAGTCAAACCTGGTGAGGAAGAGACACGGTCATATTATATCGTCAACATTTTACTTGAAAGTTCTCTACAGAACAAGAAAGGGAAGACAGTAGACAGGGCTGAAGTAGTTCTTCCACCACTCACCCTATCTGGTCTCCGGCTTTGATGGGCCTGCTTGAGAAGAAGGCTATCCTGGGGAAACGTAGATCCTGGTGCATGGTGAACACCCTCACAGCCAGCACGTTGGGCTCACACAGGTGGTTGATGAAGCGGCCAATGTTGCCGAAGAGTCTTGCATCGATACAGTGTACGTCTCCCACCTGCAGAAGGTGAGGACCAAAAAGAGTCTCAGTCACATCTTCTCTTTGGGTTTGCAGAGCCCTATGGGGCCTGGTGTGGAAACTCTTAAGAAATACAACGGTCATTTTTACAGTTTAGATAATTATTTCAGTGAAGAAAACTCTCACAGGATAAGGGCACGGCAGAGACCTGAATGTAAGCTATATTCACAGAGCCTTCACTCTCTGATACAACAGCCTCATGCCACATTAGAACAGTTCAAACAACCAAAGAGCGAATAGAACAATGAAAAGAAAACACAAAAAAAGAAGCCTATTAAGTGTATGTGGTTGTTAAAAAATATAAAAACAATATGATACAGACCAAATTGTATTAAAAAGTTCCTAAAATGATCAGGAAAACTCATCTCTGATCAATATTCATAGGAAATACATCTCTGATTTTATACAACCTTCCTGCCGTTATTGTGTTCACTGTTTGGGTTCATTGTACAGTTTATCAGTTATTCTCTACAGTTATTAATATACACAACAACAGTAAGTACAGCCAGTCAAAGTTGGGTATCATTTAATAATCTGAGTGATAAACACCTTCATTTTCTCTTGCAAATGTTCAATTAAACTGCTGGCTCATGTTTCTTGTCTTGTGAGAACAACAGTGTAGTGGTGTCCCGTGTTCCCAGATCTCAGCAGTTAACTTTTACAATGTTATTATTCCTCACAGAAATGGCAAAACTAAAAAAAGAAGCCACAGGTTGTAATAAAGCACAATTATCCTTTAATTTGCAGTGAGTTTAATGGACGAATCATTATGGATCAGATCGGCCCTGATTCTGGTTCTGATCTGTACCTACTGCAGTGATTCCTAAACTGGGTGCAGGCTCTACTGAAATGGCACATACACTAGAAAAACTGTGGAGTGATTACAGTTTGTTATGTTCTTGATTATATACATTTGTTTGTGTCCCCAGTATTGTTGCTGGTTGATGAACTGTTTGCAGCTTCCAAAGAGGGGCATGACAGAGGCAGGTTAGGAACCACAGCCCTAATGCATGTGACCTCACACTACCCTGAAAGGGAATAATGAGGCAAAATGAATACAAAAATAAACAGGTCAGAGAAAGGATGAGCAGCTCTGCAGCACCACCTCTTGACCAAACATAACAGCACATGCACTCTTAGATATTACAGATGAATGTAGATTATAATATTTAGCACAGTCTTTGTTAAATGTTTATCATTAACACATCAGAGTGTTTTATGTTTAACTATTTGATAATAATGTGTTTGACCTGTATACAGAAGCATGTATTGGCTTGCTTTCTTTTTGTTTTCTATTGCCCCTGAAATTGTAAGTAGTGTCTTATACATCTTTTGGGATGATGTGTGACACTGGAATAAATAATATAATAAATAATTGAGTTTATGGGCCTTTAACACTGACTTAAAGGTTATATATATATATGAGATTAAGAACATTAATATAGCAGCAAACAACAATTAACTATGTAAAGATATAGTGGAGTCATGGTGTCACATTCCCTCTGTCTGTGTTGCTATTGCAGCCTCTCTGTGGTTTGTTTACAGAGCCGGTCTGCTCCGTGTGCAGCTGAGTAGAGCGACTGAAACTGCTGATTTATTTCCTCCAAACCAGAGTTGGTGACTATTGGAACAGTGGAAAGACTAACAAGGATGGTTTTAATGAGTTTCTGTTAGAATTCTCAATTATTCTGTCTGTCAGTGGCAAAAACAACTTTTATGGGAGAGACTTTAACATGTGCATTCATCCCCAAGGTTTGGTGTTACGTTGCGCCACTGTGGTCCCTTTCATGAATATTTTCACATCTAACTTGGTGTATTAAGGGTTTATTTTGACAAAAACCAGAGTTATTGATTGTTGGAAAAAAACTAAAACAAATGCTTTTGGTGAGTTTTATTTTATTTCTGTCTCATTGTTTTGGTCTGAGATTCTGAATTAAGCCTTGCATTGCAATCATCATCTGTTGGTTAACACATGATATGCTGGCACATAATGTAAATTTAGTGGCCATTCTCTAGCAACACATAGAGGACACAGGAAGTGACATTTCACTCCGAAACTGTCCAAAATGCAGCAAAATTTAGAGGCGAGCTAACCTTTTCTACATGCCCATAAAAGCTTAATTTTCTACTATTTTCTGCATTTTGATTTTTACTCTTGTCAAATTCTACAAACTGCAACTATGAACTTATGTGTAAATATATGTCATTATAATGTCTAATGACAGTTCCTTTCCTTGCTGAAAAACAGTGATTCAGAGACGCTTGCTAAATACAAGCCCTGGTGCCAGTACTAACCGAGCATTGTGTCTGCAGAAAGCTGGACTTGTGACCATCAGATTATTTCCTTCTTCTCTTTTTTCTTTTACCACGCAGAATGGCCAAGTTGGTAAACACTTGTGTACGTGCAATTATGCCTCAGAACCAACATGTCGCCTAGTGCAGCTTTAAAAATTCATGTGAACTATTTCAGTCACCTTATTGTCGAGGGTGAAGAGGAAAGAGTCATTCTCCCTTTTGTCAGCCTCTGCGTCAGTGATGATCTCCCCGACATACCTGTGGAAGCATGGAGGGGGGGAGAGCTCAGAGTGCAGCTGCTGTTCAATATTTCATGCTGTAAAACTCTGAATTCAGTCCTTTCTCTTATGACAGCCTGTCCTCACTCGCAAATGAATGTTCCTTGAGGGATATCCTGCATGGCCCTCACTCCCCAGCCCATCTTCTGTGTCCTGAAGACCTGCAGCCGGGCTCTGAAACAAATGACAAGGCAATGATCTCATCCAGCAGCTGATGGAACGGAAGGAACAATAAGGGAAAAAAAGACATTGATATTATTCAAGAAAACACAGTTTTAAGAGAGAAAAACAACCTAGATAGCTTATCTTTTTCCTGGAACAGAGAATTGAGTCCCTTTTCCACTGGCCTGGTATAAAACCTGTCCTTTGCATGTACACTGTCATCTGTAGTACAGTGCACACAATGAAGCAACCGACTGTGTGTCAGTTAGTTTGAGGAAAATCAATTTTAAAACTATTTTTTTGTGATCACTAAATTAATTAAAAGTCTTAATACGGGACTTTAAGGGTTGATATTGTGAGATTAAGTGGCATCTAGCCAAAGACCGCAGCCAGTTTGTGCCTTTGAGCTCTGGTACCTACATCCCAAGGGCCATTAATATTGTAATTCTAGAAAGTGACTGATGAGATTTAAGTTACAGAAACCAACATGAGCGGTTTCTAAATGTGTGATGTGACTTGTCAATGTGCTTGTTTTACTAACTACTTGTCTGTTGCTGATGCTGTATCTTGTTTTTGTGAGCCGAAGCCAAAATTCCAAGCCAGTGGACATAAAGATATATTCCACTCCTTGCAACAAGCTGAATATCACTCGCCTTCCAAGTATGTAGCTGAAACTAGAACCAGAATAACATGGTTTCACTGAGTAACAGGACTTCTTGAGTGTATTTAAACTGATTGGTAAACAGAGAACCTGAGGCTTAATCCCTGTGGCCTGGGGTTTCACTCAGCTGGTAAACCGTCCATGACCATGTAAACACAACCAAGAAGCATTTGAAATGGATTGAAATCTAATGGACAATAACAGTGGACATTTTGAAATGTTATAGCAATGTCTATCTATCAAAAAGGCCTCAGTGTGGTGTACAGAGCGGTAGTACTTCTCTGATCCCTGATTAGTTCAACTGTGATGTATATATGTGTCTACGAGTAAACCAAGTGTATTAAATCACACCTGGATTTTATCTGTATACGAGACACTTGAAATGACAAGTATAAATGGGGTCAGTATGCAGTCTCTGGAAGTAGCCTAGTCCCCTTGTGTTTTTGTTTTATCCTTAGATATTAAAACTTTAGAACAGTGATGGACTAAGAGAGCTGGACCTCAATCTCCAACTAAAAAGCTTCTTATGATTTTTTTGGCAGCTACCAAACAGCTTCAGGTGTGTTAAGCAAACACACAACCAAAAAGTGGAATAGGTCACCTCATTCCGTTCTGGACCACTCGGTTCCTGCAGGTCCTCCAGCAGGAGCAGGCGTGGTTACACTCAAACAGCACTGGAGGCTCCCGCTGACAGAAGTCCAGAGGTAGTCGACCCTCCTACATACACACCAAGCAACATGTTTCAAACTGCTACCAGGGATAAAAACACTTCCAGACAGACAGATGTTTGATTCTTTAGCTTAGCTAGAAATAATTTGAGAAAAGGAAATAATTAAGCAGGCAGTCTAACACCTGTAGCCTCTGTTTTGGAGGAAAGCAAATGGAAAGTCTGAATCTGTAAATACAGGGTTTCTGCAGGTTCTACAGGTTAAATATAAGACTACATCCATTATTAATGCAATTTAAGAATTATTTGACATTTATATTTTTACATACTGGCAATAAAAGTACAAAGGATATGAAGGAAAAACACTACTGGTACCATGATGGTTTTGTTTTGTAGCTGTTTATGTATGATCAATAGAAATTTCTCCACAAAATACATTTAAAAGTAAGCCTGACAAATGCAACGTCACACACGTAACATTAACTTCATTAATCCAATCAATTTTCAAGACCTGTCAAAATCATATGGCCATCATATAGGACATATATATTTAGATCCTCCTAAATGCCACACACAGGCAGAATTAAAGTAACAGCAAGATTTAAGAAGTCTACCAAAATGTGTTACATAATAATATAACCCATTTCTTATATAACTGTTTTATAGTGTCAAAGAGTAAACACGCATGTGACCAAGTGACATAGTGTATAAAAACATTATAAAATGAACACTGCAGAGGTAACTGTAATATTGTTAAATGTAAAGGATCCTGAAATAAAGTAACATAATTTTGTTTGTTTGTGTTTGTGTTTGTGTGTGTGTGTGTTGTGTGTGTGTGTGTGTGTGTGTGTGTGTGTGTGTGTGTGTGTGTGTTAACTTACGCTGTCATACCAACATCGCAGACTGAGCTGGCCGCACACGCAGGTACTGGACGAGCAGTCGTCTGTGCAGCTGCAGTGCTGAATGACACAATCAGTGAGCTATTATAAGTCAGGTATTATGACATTTTATATGAATGAATGTATTTCTGCTTTAATTTGATGTACATAATATGACAGCCTGGTGGAAAATAAAAACAGCAAGCCTGTTTGTAGCAGTTTTTCTCTTTTCATCTGGACAATGAAAAACTGATATTTGGTTAAAGGGAGTCCCCCAGCCCACACTGTAGTTTCTATTAAAAAATAATACTCAAAAAGGAGGAAATAGTGCATTTGTTGGGGACTATTTTTAGAAGCAGATTAATCCATGTATGGTGCTCTACTGAGTTGGGTCAGCAGGACGGTGTATGAGGGATTGGGTCAAAATAAACTTTAGTGTGTGTGTTGCTGGTAATGTTTATAATAGTTTTTGGTGTGGAGCTCTATGACACAGAGGAAGAATATATATCAGGCTTTGTCAGTAGATACATTCATTGTTGGTTTGGGTGTGTACATGAGACTTGTTGACTATAACAACAGTACAGAATATAACCAGACTCATTCTTTAAATACACACAGAGATATTAAATGTGTCTTGTTCTGCCTTCTTTAGAGCACTGTAATAAATAATAGCTACAGAGAGCTGAAGTTTCACCTGTAAGTGAGTGATGTCCTTGTCAATATTCAGTGGGGAGGTGACACAGTTGTCTGGTATGTATTTAAAGTTTTCAGGGCATGGCTCGCTGTCGACACCATTAACACAGGTGATAGGAACTGCCTCGTAGCCCCGAGAAATGTCCCTAAGAGAAGGAAAAAAAGGAAAATTATTTGTATTCAAATATATATGGGGGGGAGGAGTATGAGCATTTATATAAATAGCTATTTCAAGAGAATACTACAAGTGATTAAAACCTAATGTGGAAAACTGACAGGACTTATACAGGATCTATTTAAGTATACAAAATTATCTATTTCTAGGATTAATGACAAGCAGATGAAGAGAAAATACCAAGTCTATTGTCATGAATGCAGTGGTGTACATGGTACATAGACCTGTGTCTCATTTGTTCAGTGGGAATAGTTAAATGGTAAATGGACCTGTGCTTGTATAGCGCCTTTCTAGTCTTCCGAAAGCACTTTTTACACTACATGCCACATTCACCCTTTCACACACATTCATACAGTGATGGTAAAGTCCATCGAACAGAAACTAACATTCATACACATTCACACACCGATGCACGGCATCAGGAGCAATTCAGGGTTAAGTATCTTGCTCAAGGATACTTCGACATGTGGCACCAGGAGCCGGGGATCGAACCAACAACCTTCCGATTAGAGGATGACCTGCTCTGTCTCTGCACCACAGCCGTTAACAGAAGATCAATCTCATGTCTGTGTGTTAAGCAGAGAGCTGAAGTCAGGGAGTGAGTTCCTATCTTAGCAGGGAGACTAGTAACAGGGGGAAACAGCCTGGATCTGTCCAAAGTGAAAAATAAGCCTACCAACAATTCTGAAGCTTATTGATTAACACGTATCTATGTACACAAACAGAAATGTGAAGTGTGATGGTTATAGTTGTAGCCGAGTTTAATGGTGTCCAGCACATGTCTGTCTGTTTACAGCTTAAATAAACAAGCTGCAGTGTGTTAAACAGTAAGCTTTAGAATGTTAGGTGTATTTTTCACTGTGGACAGAGCAGAGTAGCTGTTTCCCCCTGCTTCCGTTATGCTAAGCAAGGCTAACAATGTGCCTACTGCAGCTCTGTGCCTAAAGAGGTAGTATGGGTTGTTTAGGTTTGTAACCAGTGTATAACGTACAGTAGGATACTGAGTTTGGAAAAGTGGAAAAAGGTGGATTGTGCATCTCTAAATACATTCATTGGGGTGGACAGCAACATCACTCCAAATGAATGTTGCTCTTTGTCTGCTGGATGCGTTTGCTAACATGCTGATCTTGTTGTAGAATTCTGCCCACAAGTGGCCAAAATAATACTGAATGAATGCAGCTTTAATTTTTTTTTTTGGAGCAAAGGTTTAAAAACCAGACTGAAAACCATCTAATAAGACTCCATCTGCCAAAGTGCAAATCAAAACGTATTGTTCGTCCCAACCTCCATCAAGCTTCTGAACTCTAATACTAAATCTAAGCAATGTGCAATAAATATCTTTAGCACTTTTATTCTAAAGGTCTCTCTCTTTAAGCTGTCAGTGTTAAAAGCATAGTGTCTTGCATGTTTTGAAATGTTTCATGTTGGTTTTCTGATTTCTTTTATGCAAAGTAACACATTGTAGCACTGTGCCCAAGACAAATTCCCCCAATAAAGGGTCAATAAAGTTTTTTGTAAGGCAATCATTTTACCTTATTAGTGGTTCTTGAACAGGTTCCAAGATTTTTGGAATCTTGGTGCTGTAGAGCAAACCAGCCCACATTTCCACCAGTTTTGAGCCAAACCATTGTAATCAAGGATGTGTCATCAACAGGGCACAGCACTACTTGTAGAATATGACATGCCCACTTTGGTTCCCAAGGAAAACCTGCTATTTTTTGGTTCCAGCTGGGAACCAACTTTTCAGGTTCCAAACCAATTTATGTTGGGTCGAAATGCTCCAAACGGTTCAAAACTAGGTGCAAAACAGAGCCTGTTCCCTGTTGGCAGAAAAGGCCTATGGCCCCTTTTCCACCAGATTCTGGAACCTTGGTGCTATCTAGCAATCAGATGCATCATCACCAGAGGGTACTTCACAATACACAACAACCTGTAGAATATGACACACCCACTTTAGTTCCCAAGGAAAATCAATATATTTTTTGGGTTAAAACACTCAAAACTAGGTGTTTGAACCAGAACAGAACCGGTTCCTTGTTGGTGGAAAAAGCCTATCTGTAATTCCCTGACACACATTTCTAGAATACATCTTTTAGATTCCCAGAGGAACAGTGCCAATGAAAAATCACCTAAACAGAGATGAGAGCAGACAGCAGCAATATGTATTATAAATAACCGTTCTATACTTACATGTAATATTAGAAAACAAACATTAATTATATTATATAACCCAGCCAACACACACACACACACACACACACACACACACACACACACAGAGACACACACAGAGACAGACACAGAGACAGACAGACAGACAGACAGACAGACAGACAGACAGACAGACAGACAGACAGACAGACAGACAGACAGACAGACAGACAGACAGACAGACAGACAGACACACACACACACACACACACACACACACACACACACACACACACACACACACACCACAACAGTTGTGGCTACCTGCTGAGCACTCTTTCCCCTTGACAGTCCCTGCCTCTCCTGGCGTCAGTCAGCTTCTTGTTGGCATTGAGGGCCGTCCACACCTTGGAGCCGTAGACGCAGCAGTCCGGAGCCGCCTCTCCATCCCTGTTCCTCTGATTGACGTCAGCACCACGAGACAAAAACAACCTGCGGATGGAGGATGTATACGTTACAAAAATTGTGAAACATAACAGAGGCAGCAAAGCAAGCTGAAAAAGACAATAAACTGGTGTATCAAGGGAATCAATATGGGGGCTTTGAAGCTAAAACCAATATCTTGCAGATATAAAGGCCACATCTAGAGCCAGCCGGTTTGTCCCTTCTGGGCTACTGTGGAAACATGGTAGGCTCCATAGAAGAGGACCCGCTCCCTCTGTAGATAATATCAGCTCATTCTAAGGTAACAAAAACACAATGATTCTTATTTTCAGGTAATTATACCCTAATGAAAACATATCTGTGAATATTATATTCCATTTCTGACAATAAATAGAAAAGTAAAACATTTTGAGGCATACATGCAGCAAAGGGCCACAGGTTGGATTCAAACCTATGGCCGCTGCAGCAAGGACTCTACTAAGTGAGCTATCTGGACACGCTGAATTTTAGACTGTTGAAGACCCCGTGGACACCCTGCTAACAGAATGCAGGCATTCAAACTACTTCAGTAAGTAATAAGCCAAGCAGTAATAAGTGAAGTAGTTTGTATTAGTTGTTACCACATTGCCCAGGTATCTTTCTTCACACACAAAGAGAAGTTTTTCACGGTTTTCTATAACATAATACAACTCAAAACATTATCTTTATAACATAAATGGGTTGGTGCATATTTATGTTCCGTGCTACAGCAATTCAATTGTTATTGAACATTTATTGTATACAACCATGACGTTAAAAGATCATTTAAAATGTAGACCTTATTAAAATGTTGAATTGAGCATAGGACATCTTCACTGACAGCTGTAAGAATCAGAACTCAACCCCTAAGCTGCTTCTAACACGGTTTCTCATTTCTACAGCATCCAGTCAGGTTGTCCGGTATATCTTGAGTGGTCAATGCTCATGCATTCAAACTTTCAAATTTTCCAACCTGCCCCCAATAGTGGATCAAATGTTTCCAGACTACACACTCACATCACACACTCCAGGTGGCTCTCTCTGACAGCGACATGAAGCGGTGAGTCACCATGAACGTTGACAGCATTGAGGTCACATCGAGCATCAAGCAGAGCCTGAGCAACGTCGTCACAGCCCGACAGAGCCGCCCAGTGCAGGCAGACGTTCTCTTCCTGAACAAAGAGCAAATGAGAGGTCAGCACTGACATCATGTTCTGACAGAGGCAGGGCTTCTAACAGTAGGAGAGTAACAGGCCAGGCTTTTACGTAAGATGATCCACTGAGTTATGTGCTCTGTCAGTGGGGAGTTGGGGGGACTAGTGGCTTTTCCTCCAGGGCCACCACAAGGTTGACATGGTTTTGATGTGGTTTTCACATCTCATGTCATCATCAGGTCAAAATTAAACTGTGGGTTATGAAGAAATACAGACAAAACCAATGACATTCCCCTCACCCTCAGTTGTACTTTGTTTTTAATGCGAAGTAGCATGCTGACATTAGCATTTAGCTCTATGTACCGCTGTGCATAAGTACAGGCTCACGGAGCCTCTAGCATGGCTGACTCTTACTTTTCTATCATCAGGTTTGCTCAGTAAAGCGTTCCAAGTCAGATTCATCAAACTGCACAAATTTGTTGAAAATTGCACATCTTAACTTGATGAATGCCACCTGGTCATGAGGAAATGCAAGACTTGCTAAATCAACACCCCTCATAGTTTGACATGAAGTTACCTACTAAAAAACACCTTTCTAAAGCAAAGTGGTCCATGACTTAGAGGGAACCCTGAGGCAGCTGTTGGAGTGACAGAGGTTTTCTATACGCTACTGGACTGTAGAAGTCATGCCAAATGAGTGCCAATGAAATCTAAACAACTTCTCTAACCTTTCAGTAAATTGCCACGATGATGATGATAGCAAATGTATGAACTTTTATTTTGTGTTGATTCTGATGGCCCCTCTGGACAAAATCTTACCAAATCTGACCCAGTGGCAGGCCTTAAGAATGTATGTTTATGAAGGTCCAATCCAATCCAATCCAACTTTATTTATTAAGCACTTTAAAACAACCAAAGTTGACCAAAGTGCTGTACAGGAGAATAAATAAGACATCATAAATAAAAGACATAACAGCTCACATGAGATGCAAAATTACATATAAACTACAACAATAAAATGAAAAGACATAAAACATGAGTAAAAATAATAGCCACTCAATAAAAAGCAATCAGAATAAGAAATTAAATCAAGTAAATAAAGTCGACATCTTACTAGGTGTCAAAGGCCACAGAGAAGAGATGGGTTTAAAGATGGGTTTTAAAAACAGACAGAGAAGAGGCCTGTTTAACGTGCAGAGGCAGATCATTCCATAATTTAGGAGCATACACAGCAAAGGCACGGTCCCCTCTGAGCTTCCGCTTAGTTTTAGGCACACTCAGGAGCAGCTGATCATCTGACCTGAGGGGGCGGACGGGTATATAGGGGTGTAGAAGCTCAGAGAGGTAGACCATTCAGGGATTTAAAAGCAAATAAAAGAATTTTAAAATGGATCCTAAATTGAATAGGCAGCCAGTGGAGTGAGGCTAAAATGGGGGAAATGTGCTCATGTTTACGTGTGCCAGTTAAAAGACGTGCAGCAGTATTCTGTACCATCTGGAGACGGGCAATGGAGGACCTACTAACCCCCACATATAGTGCATTACAGTAATCCAGCCGAGTGGTAACAAAGGCGTGGATTACCGTCTCAAAGTGCTGCCTTGATAGAATTTGCTTTATTTTGGCCAGCTGCCTCAAATGGAAAAAGCTTGATTTGACAACAGCCTTGATCTGACTGTTCAACTTAAGCTCAGGGTCCACTTTAACCCCTAGGTTTGTGATGCTTGGTTTAATATACTGGGCCAAGGAACCCAGATCTACAGGGGGGGTCCCAGTGGTGCCACCAAAAACCATCACTTCCGTCTTTTTATCACTGAAATTTAAAAAGTTCAGAGCCATCCAGGCCTTTATGTCGTTGAGACACTTAAGTAGCAGTCTGAGTATTCATTTTTCTTTTTAAGAGGCACATAAATCTGACTGTCGTCTGCGTAACAGTGGAACGAAAAGCAGTGCTTCCTAAGTATGGAACCAAGTGGGAGCAAATAGAGAGAGAAAAGGAGAGGGCCAAGAACTGAGCCCTGTGGGACCCCACACGAGAGAGAAGCAGAGGAGGATACAGAGTCACCTAGGCTGACGCAGAAAGTTTGATCAGCCAAGTACGACCTGAACCACTCCAGTGCTATGCCCCTGATGCCCACCCACTGCTTCAAACGTGAGATATAATAATATTTCATGATCGACTGTGTCAAATGCAGCAGTTAAATCTAAAAGGTTAGCTCAGTGGGTAGAGCTGGCGACCCATGTACCGAGGCTGAGTCCTTGCTGCAGCGGCCCAGGGTTCAAATCCGACCTGCGGCCCTTGCTGCGTGTCATCCCCTCTCTCTCTGCCCCCCTTTCCTGTCTGTCTTCAGCTATCCTATCAAATAAAGGCAATAAAAAGCCAAAAAAATACTTAAAAAAAAAAAAAAAAAGCATAGGGATAACAGTCACCAGAGTCAGTAGCTAAAAAGATATCATTAAAAACTCTTAAGAGAGCTGATTCGGTGCTGTGCAGGGTTTTAAAACCGGATTGGAAAACCTCTAGGATATTATGTTCTTCCAGAAAGGCCATTAATTGACTGTGCACAATCTTTTCCAGGATTTTTGAAAGGAAAGGCAGTTTGGAGATAGGCCTGAAATTAGCAAGAACTGCAGGATCTAGAGCAGGTTTTTTAATCAGAGGTTGTACTACTGCATGTTCATACAGAGGCATCAGTTCTCCATGTAGTACATTTAAGTTAATGAACTAACTTTTTGAGAAAATGTTCTTTTACTTGCACTAAAAGTTACTGCAACATTATTATTATTATTATTATTATTATTATTATTATTATTATCATTATTATTGGGCAACTATATATCCGGCACAATGATGCAGTAATGAAATGCGGTGATATCCTTACTGTCTAAGTTAGAAATCCTTTTTAATCATCACATAAAATAAAGTATTTTTTCCTTGTTCGAGGTGACACTGCACCCCTGCCACTCTGCTTCGCCAGTATACTGTACTTAAATTTCTCTCCGTATAGAGATGAAAAAATATTATGTATCCCATGAGATCACACTTGTCAGAGAGTTGACCTTGATGAGCTGTAATGCTGTATGAAGTGTGAAAACAGAGTGTTATGGTGTGCACACTGACCTTGTCTCTGATGTTAACATCAGCCCCTTTGGCCAGCAGCAGGTGGACCAGCTCCTTGTGCTTGTACTCGATGGCCCAGGTGATGGGAGTCCATCCACCATCATCCTGCACAGACACAAGCTGTGAAACTCCTGCAAAGACTTACACTAACATGTGACTTTTCATTTATTTTATTAGTTGTTAGCAGCAGTTAGTAAATGAGGCAGTGTGTGTGTGTGTTTACCTGACAGTTGATGTATTTGGATGCCTTGGACAGCAGATGATGGACTATGTCATAATGTCCCAGTTTAGCTGCCAGATGTAGACAGGTGAAACCCATGATATCCTGGGATGACAACATGATTCACATTGAACAAGACTGCACTGCTGCCACCACTGTTCCAAGTCCAACAGAAAGGGCATTTCACTGGCACCATAAGTTATAACTTGAAGGGGGACATTGGAATTTTGTTTTATTAATTTTAATCAATTTCCAGGTGTTTTCATGACTTGTAAACCAGTCTCTAAATTTCCAGGTTTTCCATGTTTTCCAGGATGCGTGGGAATCCTGTTTATACTATGATAGTTTTCCTTAAATAGTCTATAGATATTGCCATGGCTATGGTATCGTAATATAAACACAATGTATTGAATCATAACTCCTGTAACGTGATATATATCTTATTGCCAATACACAGTGCTACTCTCTAAACTGCACAAACCTGTAAGATGTAAATCCCCCAATTTCAGCCCGATGAATACCACCTGTTCATGAACAGGGGCATGTTTGTGAGATTTTATTATGAGCATAAGACCGCGCCAGTGTCCAGTTTGTGGGCAAATTTTATCTGCAAAGCGAAAATAACTTTACAATGCAGATGTCCAACTGGTCGAGACAGACGACCACCCACCTAGAGCCGAAGGATCTGTCCTAGGTTTCTGCCGTTTAACAGGCATTATTTCCTGGTTTCCATGGTGGTACTGTTGGGTCTCCGTAAATAATGTTATAAAGAGTTCGGTCTACACCTGCTCTATTTGAAAAGTGTCCTGAGATAACTTCTGTTATGAATTGGCGCAATACAAATAAAATTGAATTGAATTGAATGTTCAAGTCCTGCTTTCGGAAAACAGCCCTAGCAAAAAGTTGCAAAGATAAATCCCACACGCTGTCTAACGTACAATACAACATCTATTTGACACGTTTAGGTACGAGACCTACATCAGACAATGAGAAGCCATCTTAATAAAAATGTTCTTGTGTCTGTCTCACCAACTGAAGAGCATTTATAGACAATGTGAATAGAAAAGAAACATGTCTAATCAATTATTTTTTTGTTTATTTATGATCCTCAGCTACACAAGTCTTTGTATTTAAATTGTTGTCGTCATCAATTTCATCCTATTAGAAAATGTTTGTCTAAAAGGTGAAAACCCTGTCAATGTAAACTGGTTTTGGTTCCTTTAGTATGTTTTTTGGGAGGTAAAAATAATCACATCCATGTTGTGATTTAAAACTAGTAGTATAAAAAGGACTGAGCAGTGGCAGCAGAGTGACACTGGACTGAGTGATGGATGGGAAAGCAGAATTTGACATGAGCACACATCTGGCTGGTAGAACAAATTGACACTGACTGAGCACACACCGACCCACCTTGTGGCTGACAGCTGCTCCAGCTCTCAGCAGGTACTTCACTGTGTCCAGATGGCTGTTTTCACAGGCCGCCATCAGTGGCGTCCTCTGCTCCTCATCAAACATGTCCAGGTTGGCTCCAGCCTATGTGTGCACACACACATACACACAGAATCCCAACATCACTCATTAAGACTCTGACATCACCTAACAGGATTTCTGAGCACAAAACTTTGGTTCCAGCTGATGAGTCAACATTCAGCCAGCCTACAGCAGCTTTAAAGGACCAGTGTGTAGGATTTAGTGGCATCTAGCAGTGTATTTGCAGATTACAACTCCCTCGTTTCACCCTCCCCTTCCAAGAAACTACAATGAAAGACGGAAAATGCAAATGGCCCTATCTAGAGCTTTAGTTTGGTTTTTCTTTCCAAGCTACTGTAGAAACATGTCTGTGGGTAAAAACTGCTCATTCTAAAGTAACAAAAACACAACTATTCTTATTATCAAGTGATTATGTTATTATTAATTTCGATTACTCCAGACAGAAGGGAAAAAAATGATAAACTGTTGCCAGTTTAGTTCAAGTAAGCATATGGGTTGGATAACTGTATGCTAATGTGCATTTATGGAATTTCCACTTTAACTTATTACATTTTACACCTAAAACACCTAAGAGTATATATTACTAGTAATATATATTACTACATTACATATTAATGATTGTTATCTTAGTGTGGGACCTTTAAAAATAACTTTAAGGGGGTCCCTATTTCCAAAGATGGAAAGTGCATACAAGTTCTATAAATACATTTTACAGACTGTATCCTTCTGTTGGATCTGGGCCTGAATTCATCAAGTGTGCCCTCATAGTTATGAGTTATGCTTAAAGTTAACCTAGTACTAAAACTAGTAATTGATGGAGCGTCCCTTTCAGCAGGAGACCCACACACATTGACAACATGTTGTAGTTTTCTGACGGCCCCCGTTTGGAGTATTACAAATAGATGAAATTTAAAACGTGAAGAACTAGATTTTCTTTTATTTGTAGGATTTATGTGTATAAAGAATTACATAGTTGACTAAGCTATCTAGGTTACGTATGCAAAAATTTCATGTGAAAATCATAAAAAAAAGCTTAAATCTCATCACAATATTTACCAAAAAGTCATTTGTATATGCAAACCCTAGAAACACATAATTTAACATCCACTGTTCAATTCACCTTTCAACTTGACCTGTTATAATGTGTCATTATAGGTGCGGTAAACCTATTAATTTCTATAGTGTCACCCACTGTTGGGAAATGCACCGTCACAATATGAACACCTCCTAAAACACACCCTACCATCTGTAACAATAAATGAATGAATCCATTATTATTATTACTATTATTATTATTATTATTATTATTATTTTATTATTTTCCTCAGTATGGGGCTTTTTAGATGACAACATTCTAAAATGAGCTCTTGCTCTCAACAAATATTCTTTGCTCAGTATGGACCAAAGTCACAAGACTTTGAACTATTAAACTTGTATTCAACTTAAACTGAAAGATCTTGCTCACTTTAGAATGGGGAACATATTCTGAGTTAGAAAGACTTCATTAGAATGATTTGGACGCTATTAACACTTGTCGTTTTGTTATATGAGAATAGACCATATTTATTAGGTGCCATTAAGGTAGAATGACTATTCTCATGGTACTACCTTATACTGAACAAAGCATATTAAGATCATAACTCCTGTTCAACAACTTCCTTACGAACCATTAATAAGCACTAATTAGGAAGTTATTGAGGCAAAATTCTTAGTTAATGACCTAGTAGTTGTAGAATATGGCAATGTAGAATAAGGCGTTAATAAGTGCTTTATAATATAAAAGACTAATAGAAAGATAGAAATATGCATGATAATAAGCAAATAGTTAATGGTAAATATGTGTACCTTAATATAAAGTGTTACCTGTCATTTTCCCTGACATTGCAGTGACCTTGGTTTTAGTGCTTACATTTAATTTGTACCAAAGTTATGTCCTCAATACACTCCCTGTCATTCATAAATATCTCTCCTCCCATGGAATGTGTGTGCATGTCTCTGCCTGAAATCATGGTAGCTAGTAACAGGTCAGGACACCAGGAGCTCTTCTAAATACTGGCCAAAAAAGTTCCTAAGTTAAGAAAGCTGACAAAATGCTTTTAATCTAAGACCTTAATTTAGTCACTGAAATGTTTTGGCCAGTGAGGACTGACTTTTTACTCTGAGACAATTGATAAATAAACTGAAGAGCAGCCTGTAGTGAAGCCACAGTGTCCTCACCTGGACCAGCATGTGGCAGACCTCCTGGTGGCCCTCAGCAGCTGCTGCATGAAGAGGGGTGCGTTTGTTTTGGCCCTCCATTAAAAAGTTGGGGTCCTTTCCATCAACTGCAATGTGCAAAGTTTGGCATATCAGTGGGCTAAAAAATACACAGTTATCGTAGCATGTCAAACAATGTAACGGAGTTACCTAGAAGACGAATGACCTTCTGGAGCTCGCCTTGTTTTGCAGAGATGTACAGCTGTCTGGTGGGGTACTTCACTTTCTTTGGTTTCAGGCTAAAATGAATAAAGGTCTTAATTAATTATTTATGTCAAAGTGCAAACTGAGGTCCCACATTGCACTTTTTTGCAAAGTGATGTCAAAGTATTTCATGGTTAACCTTACTTCTCATCATCCAGTGCCATTAGGATGCTCTCCAGTGACTCTTTAGGTAGTCTATCTGCAGTGCCCACAGCCTCGCCCTTTAACCTGGACATAGAAAGCAAGTAGTAAGATTCTTGTTCGATTTGAGTTTTATTACATTTGAATTACTTTTTAATAGTTTAGTGAAGTTCTGTCTCCATCATTATATGGGAAGATGAGATAACATAAGCAGCATCGGTTCAGTGTTACCTGTTCGGGCTCTCGTCTCTGCTCCTCTGTGGCTCACTGGTTTTCTTAGCTCTGAGTATCTGTGGAACAGCAGGCGTGGTTGGTACTGATGGCAGTGTGGCCACAGTGGGTAGTGACGGGCCAGGGTTCGACCTGGGTACAGAGGGCGACGGATCAGCATTTGACACGGTGACCTCCTTCGCCCTGCTGGCATCCTCTCCACAGTGGGGGCAAAACTTGAGATCCTTCAAGATGGAGGCACAGTCTCTGTGAAAGCGGTGGGAGATGCTGCCGTATGGCCTGCACTCCATAAAGGTGCCCTGTGGAAGCAGGAAAACACTGCAGTTTGGTCACGTTTGCATTTGTACTACCACTACCACTTGAAATGACACAAGCTATCCATTTCAACCATTTATCCATTAGCTTTAGCTAGTTTAACCATTTAACATTACTTTTAGCCATTTAGTCAACCACTTATCATTAGCTTTAGCTATCTTGTTCAACAATTTATCAATTACCTTTAACCATTTTAACCATTTAGCTTTAGCTATCTATTTCAACTATTTATCCTTGACTTTCAACCATTTGTCAACTACTTTTAGTTATCTATTTCAATCATTTCTCCAGTACCATTTGCTATTTCAACCATTAATCCATTAGCTAACCTATCTATTTTAACCATTTATCCACCACTTTTAGCTAGTTCAACCATTTACTTTAAGCTATTTGAAATATTTAGCCATTACTTTTAGCTAGCTATTTCAAAAAATATTTTAGCTATTTTAAACTATTATTTTTAGCTAACCATTTTAACTATGTATCCATTAAAATTACCTTTGACGGACTATTTCAACTGTCCGTTATAATCAATGAGTCTTTTTTTTTAAAAATCATTTTCATTTCTTCATTACTTCAACAAATGTACCCATACTTTTACTGCAAACCTAAACTGCTTATCCATTACTTTTAGTTACTACTTCAAAAAGGTATCCAATACTTTTAGCTCTCTATAACAAGTTATAGATTACTTTTAGCTTTATTTCAACCATATATCCATTACTTATATATCTGTTTGGATATATTTTCAGTCAAACCATAAGTTCACTTTTACTCCATACTCTGTCCACGTAGCCCCCTGCTACTGCAGAAGGGTGTCCTGAGATAAAAGCACCCCTGGTTAGTAGGGAGGAAGGAGAGGAAGCAGGAGATGACACAGACGATAAGGAAAAGGAGATGAGAGGGAGATGGATATGGAAATTGGTAAGAAGGAAGAGAAACTGAAAGATAAGAAAGGAAGATTTAGAATAAGGATACAAAGAACAAAGAGCATGCAAAGGAGAACCAAGAGACAATGAAGGTGAATAAAAATTATAATAGGTGGAAATAAAAAGGAGAAGAGGAAAGAGAGGATGTTATCTCAGCAATGTTCCTCCATAATTGACCAAAACTTTTACCTGAAATCTTCCCATAGATAACCAGTATAATCCTGATAAATTCTACTGTGAATTTATAAATCAAAATAAGTACAATTTAGTGCTAATGTCAAACCTTTAAGTATCTACAGTATCAGTGTGCTTTGCTTGCCCTCACCGCCCTGCAGAAGAGTCCACAGCCGGGGCAGCACTGGTGCTTAACCATGCCGGCCCGGTGGTCCTCACACAGAACCAGCAGATGGACCGTGTTGGAGGGTCGCATCATTTCCTGTTTCATTACTCGCTTCTGGCAACGACTCAGCTATGGAGAGAAAAATCAAGTAGTTCACAAAAATAACCCACCATACTGTTGTAACATTAAAACCCATAGTGTTCTAATAGAGTTAATGCTTTTGGACCTTTAACGACCTTACTCAGCAACAGATTTTATATATTCTAGATTCTAGTTTTAGTTCCTTCAAATATTGTTTTCCATAGAAAGTTATTTTTGGATTCCAGGATTAAATGAAACTTTAGTTCCTGGGACACTAAAACTGTTCTTCTGTACCATCAGTAGCACTTTTCTCAGGTTAAACAAGTCTGTGGTAACTGGATGGGATGTCTGTCTAATATTTTAATAGACCATAATCTAGTGACACATCATTGTTTTTATTCATTCAGATGATCTTTACCATTCCATCCGTGCTCTCCATGGCCATGCAAGTCTGCTCCAGTGTGGACAGACTGCCTCCGCTGTGAGGAGTCTCCATACGACAGCAGCACAGTGGCAACTCCTCAGCCAGGTCTGTTTCTGTCACCTCTGCATCTGCTGCTACACCTGCACGCACGCACACACACACACACACACGCACGCACGCACACGCACACACACACACACACACACACACACACACACACACACACACACACACACACACACACACACACACACACACACACACACACACACGCACACACACGCACACACACGCACACGCATTGTTTCACTAGACATAACACACCAAGAAACTGACCTATGTGACCTATTAAATGTATTCTGTAGAAGACAAGGGGGACATGATAAATTCAGGTGATCTTAGATAAATATTATGAAGCCAAATCAGTCAGTAAGATGCTGTTACCACTAGATCGGGGGAGGGGAGAGCAGCTCTTCCTGAGCTTTCAGGTCCAGACAGTCCAAAGTCAGCTCTGTGTATTCAACGTGGCTGCCTTCTCCAGGTTCCACCTCTGTCAGTGATTCGTTTCTGGCAACTGGCAGCTTTGCGGCCTTCAGAGTCTCTGATAGAATCACTGGTTTCTTATCTGCTGCAGTTCGGTTCTTCTCCATACGGGCTCCTGACTCCTCTTTCTGATTGAATACAGGAATGACATTTGACATTTGGCTAATTGAGATTTGTGATTTTTGGCTATATAAATTAAACTGACTATAAACATCATATGAAAAATCACTATTGTATTTGAGTGAACATATTGTTTGAGGCACTCAGTTGCTGTTCTGGGTTACTGACGGAGGGCTGGTAGGAGGTCTGACACACAGGAATAAACAATAAATGGACCTGCCTTGTCCTGCAGTTTAAGTGCTTTGGCCTTCTTCTTGGGGACCAGGTTGTACATTCCCATCTTTCTCTTCTTCCTCTTCACAGCTAGGAAAGGCACACAGAATAAGGTTAGATGGAGGCCAGAAGATTCCACCAGGAAATAATCTTGGAGACTACATGTTACATCAAGGCCCAAGTTCGTACTGATTATTTTCGCATGGAAAAACCCTACACACAGTATATGATTAATCACTGTAAACCTTTCAATTAATGGGCTGTAAATCCTTTAATTAAAACAATGAACATTTAAAAAAGAGCACATGTATTCATGGGAGAGATTTTTTTACATTTAGGCTCAACTTCATGCTTTTATTACATAAACTCTGGCAATGAGAATATACTTTTTCTTATAATTATGCTTCTCACATCAACAAATAGGAGGAGGATGCACTGAAACGTTAATGTGACATTTAGATTACAGCAACTTCAAATAAGCAGATTTCCCAGCTAACAGGAAAATACACACTCACACAGTACAGAGTAAAAACCTAAAACACAAAGCCAAACAATAAAGAAAAAAAGAACCACAGTATAATAACAATAAATCTAATTGTAGGTATGAGGCACAATCAGATTAGTAGATTAGTATTTTTGCACAGAGGTTGATATTTGTGTGATTTTTTTAACAATGTGAAGTGCATCAAACGCAAACTGTTCACACACACATTCCAGCTCTTTATCTATGCACACATAATACCTGAATATCACTGTTTACAGTGATACCTTATTAACTGTCCACATTAAAGCAACATTATGTAACTTTTCTACCTTAGAATAAAATAATTAAAATGATTTTGATGCTACACTGAGTTGTAATAGGGTGCTTCTGTCATTCCCAGCCTGTTCTTGCACTATGTAACTTTTGGCTCTGCGTCCCCCCGGGATGCAGGGAATGCTGACGGAGAGCTGGCTTGGAATGTCTTATGTTGTTGCACTTGCTTAATATTTGGCTGTGCTAGCAAAGTTGTCAACTTGCTAGTTTTGCACATGTACGGCTGTCCATATTTACCACAGTGGTACTGCAACTGCAGGTGCCAAATCCCACAAATACCAAATCTCACATAGTGGTTGGTGCAGCAGCCATAGTCGCATACTGCAGCAACTGCATTAGTATATGTTTTGTACTCTCAGCTGCAACCTGTGTCCATCAGGCATCTTTAAAAGTTAAGACTAAAGTTTGCAGAGAAAGGATCGACAAACCTGACTGAGGTTTGACGGAGGTAGAGACAGCTCTCCTCTCTTTGCCTTTGCCTTTCTGGCTGTGACGAAGCGCCGTGGTAGATGGTGGTCCAGGCTTCACAGAGTCTGTCAGGCTCAATTTTGGTGCCTTCCTGCCAGTGGCCTTTGGGGGCACACAGAAGACAAACACATTATCTATTTATTTCATACATGAGAGGAGGAGTCAAGAATAAACCAGTTATTACATTTAAAAGGGACCAATGTGTAGGATTTAGAGGGGACCTAAAGTCATCGTCTCAACCAAGCATGTAGGAGAAACTATGCTGGCCGCAAAACTCACGAAAAAGCCCCATCTAGAGCTAGTGTTTAGTTAATTAATTAATTTAATTAATTGTCAACAAGTCAAATGAAAGCACAGACTAATAACTGGTGGAAAACAGTAAACTAAATATTATAAAACCTTGAATACTGCACTTCTTTGACTGCTAAAGCACAAGTTATATACCCTGCAGCCTATTGCGCCAGCTGTGTGTCAGTTCAAATTTAGTTATAACGTAAATTATTACAAAGTTGTGATTTATGCGTTACTAAAATAAAAGCAGTTGCACCAGAGAGACAGGACAACTAAACTCTACTGTAGGTCACTGAATAGTTACCCATGCCCCATAGGTCATAAAATGTTACAGAATTACACTCACTGACGGTAAAACATTTATGTGCCTCTATCTACATCTATTTCCTGACCCTTTTTATTGTGAGGATCCAAGTTTTTTATTAGTACCATATGCCTCATTCTCAACTTCCTCTCTCAATATTACATGTTTACTGGTCAACAGGAGGAGAAATTGAAATCGAGACTGGATTTCAAAAGATTTTCTTTCCCAAGCAATTGCTTAACACTCTTCAAACACTTGTCGCTACTATGGACAATAAGAGGACTTGCCTGTGCCTTTTCTCCTGTTGTGGCCAGAACAGAGCCTGAACTGGGAGTTTGTTCCCCTGAGCTCCCAGCAGCACCAGCAGCACCAGCAGCAGCAGCAGCAGCAGCAGCAGCAGCAGCAGCAAGTCTCTCTCTGACAGGGGGAGCAATCAGCCGACAAGGTGTGTCCAGCAACAGGCTGCCAGGGGATGCCAGCGGTCTCCCAGAAGCTCCTGGTCGTTTGCTGCGGAGAGCTCCATCACCGCTGACTATGGGCGAGCTGTGGAAGGGAGTTATCTTTACTTTGGGCCTCTGACTATTCTGTGCAGCTTGTCCCTTGGCACCCATGGGCGTCCCAGAGGAGGGACTGGAGGGTCTCCTGCCTCGTCCAGGCCATTCACTGGCTCCACTTTGATCCATTGCAATCCTGAGGGGCTGCTAGTTGAAACCAGTCGGACCACAGCAGCACCTGAGAAGTTTACACTAGTTTACTCCACTCCTCAAAGCCTCAGAACACACAGTGTCTCAGAGTAAGTAACAATATGAGGAACTCTGTCATTACTCAACCGTTCATACAGGATGTACATCCTTGCAACATTCTACATGTAAAGTAGTAAATAGTGCAGCGAAACCAAAGTTATCACGTATTTGCATCACACTGAGGCTTAAAGATGGAAGAGAGGCAAAGCAAAGCTGAGCCGGTGGAGCAGCAGTCAGGAAGGAGTCCGAGGAGACAAACAGAGCGGAAACCGCGTACAAATATCACCCGAAGTTAACACGAGGCCGCGGCACAAAAGTTAAAGCAGCAGACTTTCATCCTACCAGCTCCGGTCGGTGTAGCTGTATCCGAGCGAAGGTAGGGTAGGATGGGACAGGAAAACAAGAGTTTCCACTTCCGCCCTCAGCCGTTCAACACGTGACGCGCTGCGTGCGCTTCTTTAATGTCCTGACGGATTGGGAAAGACTCCCGCGGTTAGCTGTTAGTTACTGCCTACAGTAAGGACGACAATAGCTCAATTCACTTTTTATTCCCATTTGAGCTCTGAAGATTAGTAACACTCTCAGAATTACGATAGAATCCTTTTCGCGGGTTAATTTAAGGGATTAAAGCGAAACAGGAAGTAGAGAACAGTGTATCCTCTTGCAGTCATCTGTAGATTTGTCTCAAAGGATGTATTATATATAGACAGAAAACAGGCTCATACTTTATTTAAAAAGTCACAGCAATGTAAAGGCCTACGGAGGCCCCCTGGTGACATTGGATTAAAAAACAAATGCGTGGGCACGAGATAATTACTGCAGTCATTTCCATGCAGAGACTGTTGATTGTTAACATGGATAAGTTTGAATGAATTGAATTTGAATTTAATATAGGAATGAATGACAATGACATACTTCAGTCACTTGCAGTTAGACATGGAGCAATTCTAAGCAAGAGATACTTAATTCGGTATATATATATATATAATATGTTGATGTCCATGTGAACACTCAACAGTCTCTGCATGAGGGGACTGCAGTAACTATCTCGTGCCCACGCGTTAACTATCTTGTTGCCACGAGATAGTAATGAGTGGCCACGCATTATTTCTTTTTTATCCAATGTCACCAGGGGGGCTCCGTACACGGCTGTTAGCAAAATATTAAACTAACAATGCATACCTGTAAATAAATATTGAAAAAGATGAAAAAGAGAAGAACTGTTTTCAGTCTCAATGTTCCACTCTGCTGGCAGGTGATTTCAGTTGAACCTAACCCTATCAGAAATAAAAACAAAAACTTTTAATCCTTTTCTTTTTCTCTATCAAATATGTTTTTAATAAAGCAAGAGCGAGCTATATATCTAAATTCATCTTTTCTTCAGAAAGTAATTTACTCTTTTTATTTTCTAACATTCTTTATATTATTCTTTATATTACCTTCTATACTAAAGTTTGATACATCCTACAGTAAAATATAAAATTATGTGTTTTATAATTAAACAATGGTACACATGTAAGAACAAAATATGTTTTTGAGAGATTTATTGTAATTAATTTTCTTCACTGTATATCAAAGTTTGAACAAGATTCACAGATCATGCCATTAATTCATTATAATACTAATGAGAACATGTCTGACAGATACAGACAAAATCAAATATCTTAACATAAGATAATATCTAAAGAGACAAATATAGACGGAAAGGAGAACAGAAACCCCCCAAATTGTTAGTAAAATGATCCTGTAAATTAAAAGGGGACTATCTAAAGTACATATCTTAAGAAATAACATTTTAAATGCTTCAAACACAGGAAGAGATTTATAAAATGTACATTTGTGTAAATATCAATGTTCTGCCTTTTGGCAGCAGTGCTCTGATTTGGCCAGTGAGTGGCATCATGTGTACAACTGTTCACTGTGACTGACGATGGAGCCACAAGTAAGCTAGTTATCTAAATGAACAATTTTTCTTGTATGCTGTGTACTACTTAGATTGTTAATACTGATGTATCAATGTGGAAGCAGCATTTTACTGTTGCAGCTGCTCAGCATTTTGGTTTAGTCTAGTTGTACCCAACAGTGATTGGTCCCTGAGAGGTTGTGAGATGATTCATGGAGTGGGGGGAAAACGGCTCTGCTAAACAAATTTTTTAGACTTTTCTCAAATTTTTGCTCTTGAAACATTGGATAATTTTGGCTCTTTGGCCCTCAAAACGTCTATAAAGGAAGCAATGTGGAGGTGTCAAGTTAAGGTCAATGTCAAACTCATTTCCTATCAAAACATAATAAGTTATGTCATCTGAGAAAAATAAAACAGCACTGAAATGAAGGTACAAACAGGAAGATCCAAGGTGGTGATATGTTTGTATACAGACAGATACTAATGCACAAGATTTTACAGATTTATTTATTTTGTATATGATATATTATACAGATTTGAATATGGATCCAGACTTATACACTATTGGATCTTAAAGGATTCTTCAAATTTCTTTCCAGTGCCGATTATTATTTTAGGAAAGTTGGATAATTTCCAAATTGTGTAAAATTAAAATAGACAGAGCACATGAGGAAATCTACGTCTGCTGCATCTGTGTTTGTCTCCTTGAAAATGACTGACAGTGAATGGACCTGTACTTGTATAGCGCCTTTCTAGTCTTCCGACCACTCAAAGCGCTTTGCCACATTCACTCAGTGCCCATCGGAAAGTAACTAACTCATGCACATTCACATTCACACAGGAGTATCTTAAGTATCTTGCTCAAGGATACTTCGACATGTGTCAGGGAGGAGCCTGGGATCGAAACCAACAACCTTCCGATTAGTGGATGACCTGCTCTACTTCTGAGCCACAGCGTGTGATACTTTAAATTAAAGACCCATAGCAAACTCAATAAATAGCTGTGCAGTATGAATTTAGTGCTTTTGACTGGGATTCCCCAGCAATAGAAAACAATGAAATGAAGTCATAAGAACACATTCATTGAAATAAAGTTACATCCCTTTAAAAACACCAAGTGTCTGCTTTAACAGAACCACAAAGCAGAATTGGGTCTTTGTGAAATAAGAACAGAAACAACATCCCATTGCCACAGAAACTGAGACTCTGACAAAAATAGTTTTAACAGATTTAATGGAATCCTGACAGCAGTTGGAAACCATCAGAAATAATAAATAATAAAATAAAATCGTTGTCTTTCTGCATGTTTATGGATTTAACTTGATCAAAAAATATTAAAACGTATTCACAAAACTCTGCGATTAAAACAGATGCGAGCTAAATTGAGAAGGGCCAAAGAAAAACCTCCAATGACAGCAATATTCAATTATTGTAACTATTAAAAGAATTCAGACACGAGAAGATGTCTGGCATGTACAGAAACAATGCACTTTCAGCAGGGGAAGAAGAATATACACCATTTCTCATAGGAAGTTTACAGTCATTACAACACAGTTCAACCACATGGAAGTAACATGGCAAATCATGCATTTTATCCTTACGAAGCTGTATGTAAGCAACTTGCAACAGCAATATCTGGATTGTTCATTATCATCATAAAATTGATAATTCCTGATCAAAGGCAAATAAAAAAAGACCTTTCCAAACAAACCATTTTATCCTGTATTAAATATAGAAATTCTAATGAAAATATGCCACACGAATAAAGATCAATAAAAAATCCACTGGTTAATTTCTTATTTGGCATAAAAAATAAAATGAATACTAAATGAGATGGTTTGTTTTGCCAGATACATCAAACAAACATTCAAACTTGACATCACAGATGCCGTCTAGATAACCCACAACTAAAATCATGACTCCTGTGGCTGTACAAAGAACAGCAAATAAAATTCTGCATATTCTCCTCCTCTTTCCTTTTATTGAAAGTGCTAAAAGTACTTCAAACGTTGATTTTAAAAAGGCTGTGTTGATTAGCTGAGGATGGTCCGAAGGAGAGAATAACACCCGTTAGATGAGCGAAGGTATGTGTTCACTGGAAAACAGAGCTCAATTCACTTTCATTTCAAATCAAAATTCTGCATTCTTACATTTAGCTAGAAACATGCACAAAATATGGGGGTTGAGGCCTAAAAAACCCTTATTATACCAGGTTGCATTGGGTTTCCTCTGTGTCTTGCAATCATTTTGTCCAAGTTGGTTACAACCTTTTAAAATGGCAGGACTCTTATTTTGGTCATTCCAAACAGTCCAACATTCTGTTTGATATGAGAGTGAACTGATCGTCATCCTGGCGGGGCGGCAGGTTCTCGTGCTTCGTCCTCTTCATGTGTTGCAGCTCTCGTCATAAGAGGGAGGAGCCTCTGTAACAGACACCGCCAGACCAGTTGGTTAATACACAAACACTGTACAAATACACATTCACATGTGCCAGATGTGTAAACACACACGCACACACACAGAGTTATAAGTCTCTTCGAACTATTAAAGGAATGAGTAGACAAACCAAACCAAAGTGACCCAGGAGGAACAAGCATTTTGTGAGATTGCAAGACCTTACAAATAAGAAAGATCTTGTAGGAATGGAGGGAAGGTCTAAAAAAGCGAGTGATAGCGATATATGTGGTGGAAAATATTAGTACAACATTAATGGAGTATATTTGGAACACTAAGAACAGTTTCCTGTTCTGTAAACACAGAGAGCGTCCTCTAAGGACAGACCCAGGGAAACATCGGAGAACACCTTGACACACACCTGGAAACTACCAAAGCTCCCATCCACTTCTGTCGAAATTAGATAACATGTTGAATTATAAAGAAAATTGATAACTAGCCAACCATTGTAAGGAAAATTGATAACTAGCCAACCGCTGATGAGAAATGACTACTGGCGAGAAAAGACGTCAATGAGAGGTATAAGACTAGAAGCCTCAATAGAGGTTTATGGGTTCTGTGGTTGTTCTGTGATTGTACTTGGTTTTCTGAAGAATTCTTGGAACTATATTGTATCGATTTGAATAAATCCGGCAAAGGCTGTTCACGAACTTCTGTCTCCACGCATTTTTCCAACATATACAGGCTGTTTGTGGTTAAACAAAGAGGATCTTACTCTTTGACAAATGGCTTATCTCTATTTTCATCACCATCTCTGTAGGGATCCGTTCCGTTATGTTGTCAAACACTAAGACTACATTCAGTTCTAATTTATTGCTCAGATATGATTTTTTGACACATGAATTTTGATATGACTGTTCACACTCAGGTCACATTGAAAAGAATCAGACTTGTTCTGATTTGGACCACATATATGTGTATATTTTTTGGGCTTTTATTGCCTTTATGATAGTGACAGCTGAAGACAGACAGGAGAGGGGGGCAGAGAGAGGGGATGACACGCAGCAAAGGGCCGCAGGTCAGATTCGAACCCTGGGGCGCTGCAGCAAGGACTCAGCCTCCGTAAATGGGACGCCAGCTCTACCCACTGAGCGAACTGGGTGCCCTTATTGCCCTTTTCAAGAAAAGGTTCACATATAACTCAGTGAATTAATGGTTTATTTTGACCAGATGACAGTTGGTGATTGTTGGAAAGAATAACAAACAAAATCCTGGTGCTCTAGTGTGACATCCAGTGGTAAGTGAATTTCGATATATAACCTTTAAAGATGATGAGTATGTGTTGAAATTACAGCCTTCTTCTCTACATTCCAGTCTACATTCATGACCAGAGCCAGGTTGGTACAGTAGAGAGTGAGCGCGTGCCAACTGACCGTGTGGATATGCTGAGGTGCCGTAGTCTGGAGGCAGGATGAGTAGTGAAGGCATCGAGGGAGCACCCCCAGGGGCATAAGGTGCTGTGGCCCCCGTGGTCCCACCGAACGCAGGCTCGCCAGGTGCAGTGCCGGGCCCGCCGTGCTGCTGGTTCTGGGAGAAAAAGAGGCCAGGGGCATAGCTGAAAGCGTTGGGTGATACCAGCTGAGACTGGCGCTTGTTGGGGACGCCGTCATTAACTGGAGTCCCACCCTCCGCCCCCTGGTGGTACTCAGCTGGAGGAGCACTGGGGGAGTTATGGGAGGACATCCTGGAGCGCGGAGTAGGGCGGGGAGCGGGTTTTGGGGCACGACGAGGTGGCAGCGTGGGCGTGGTGGCAGAAGTGGAGGTGGATGTGTTGGGGGTGGAGGCAGAGGTGGAAGTGTCGGGGGTAGAGGCAGAGGCCAGTGTGTCTTCAGCTGCGGCAGAGGAAGGAGGAGCTGCTCTTTTGGAAGGGTGCTGTTTTTTGTCTAGAGAGATGTTCCCGATGTGGATGGGTAACGTCAACATGACGTCTGGAGACTTCAGACAGACCTGATTAATCAGAGGAAAAGGAAATGTTAGTTACATTTCCTGGAGGAATACAGAATATATACCCAACCTAATGGAGTTTCATTGCTTTCTAGAAGACACAAGAATCCAAAACTCATATGTGTGTGTTCTAGCAGACAATATGGACGAGGCCTACCAAAAGAAAATACTGATTTCATTAAATCAATTCATATATATTTGTATATATATATGTTTTTGGTGAATGGTAAACTGAACGTTTGCAACTAATGAAGGTCTATGTGACGTTAAGCCCATGGTGTTGCTGAAGCCAGCTCATATAATTATTTGAAGGAGTTTTATAAACAAATCAGTAAAGAGTGAATGACGATCACAAGAAATCATTTCCAAAGAGTAAGACCACAAGCCAACAGCCACAAAGTCAAACTCACAGCATTTTATATATTTTCTATATATTTATATATTTTCTATATAAGGACTGGTTACCTTTGTAAAAGGCAGATAGACTTGTACTTTCTTTTCTATGTCTTTTTCTGCATGACAGCAAATATAATCTAAAACAGTTACTTGTTTGCGTTAAATATATATATTTATACTTAAATACCAGTCATATTCTGAAATATACAGCATAACTGTAGATATCTGTTTCATTATTAATAAGAACGGTTACTGGCTAAAATAAGCATGTATATTAGTTTGTTTTGACATTGCCATTATACATTGGCTTACTAGAATTAATAATGATGTGATTTCACCGAGGAGCTGGAGGAGGAGAACATCATCACTTCATCCAGCAAATACTGTGTTGATTTGATCATTATGCCAACAGAATGTCAAACTTAAGCCATTTCCATGCATACTGACTATCATCTATCTGTTAAAGTGAGGGCTTCTGGCACTTATTCAGACATGAGACCGACATGTAAAATTTCCATCACATTCACAGAGGGAGGTACATGAATAAAAGTGGCCATAATGATAGATGTCTCAAATGGCCTACTGTTTGTAACAATCAAAAGATTTTATAAGCAAACAGTGCTGATAGTGTAACAGAGGAGGAGCATCTTACTTTGACATAATATTCAATCTTTATAAGATCACAGCCAACGAGGGACGACTGAGGAAGAGGAGGGATAATGATCTGCTCCTTCCACTCCACCTCCTTGCCGGCCTTCACCACACCGCCCTCCACCTCCGCTATTGTCCTCAGATCATGGGTGGGCCTCTTTGTCTCATAGGTCACTCTCTGAAAACACACGAGGACATGGAGATTCTCAGTCTCCACAAAGGGCAGTGAATATAAAAAACACAAAGATTTATTACTGTGGCCTTTTAGACAGGGAATCAGCTGTTATCTTAATTACTTCATATTTTAATCAATGTTCCAGCCACTTGCAGGCACTGCATAAAGCTGTAAATAAAACATCGGCATATAATGTCCTTATAAAGTTGATATGGCTATCATATTAGCAAACAGTTGCCTATTTACACATCCATCTACGGAAGCCCTGAGAGGCAAGATCTAAATTGTTTTCTCTCCTGTGTTAATGACTTAAGAATAAGGATAATCTTAATCTTTTTTAGTTTGAGTTCCTTTAAGTTCAAATTTTTTAAACTGTGAAATTGGTGGGAAAAAAATATGTTTGTTTAATTTTAAATTTTTTGGTCAGAATCATTTATTCAGGTGCTCAATTTGGTCACAAGAGGCTGAAACACCACTACCCCATGTTCTAAACAGGACTAAAAGCATTCATGTTTTCTTCCTGGTAAGTTGTATCTAAACACAAGGTATGTTTGTATTAATTATCCTGACAAAAAAACAAAGTCACCTCCCGAAACTTTTTCACTTGTTTTCACAAATAAAAATGTATTAAGGAACTAAAGATTATCCTAAGGCCTGTCTACAACAGGAGCAGACAGCAGACTAAAGTACTATTGTCTTTGGTCTTTTAACACTGAATGTGTTTAATTTAATTTGCTCCTATCAACCACATTCTGCAGCTCCACGCAGCTTTTAGCTGCGTTGTTTGTTTTTCTGGCCTCCTCAAACACTCTGTTAAGTTACATTTTGGTTCCTTGCAGGTTTGGTCTGAGCTGTAAAAAGAGTTCACCTGCATCAGGCTGGCCGCCATGTTGCCCGTGTTCTTGCCAGACTGGTTGTGAATGTTGGTCATCACCTGGATGATCTGGCCTGGTGTGTAACCCTTCATGTCAGTGTGGGCCTTCATGACCACTGTGCCTGTTTTCACTAGCATGTAGGTGAACTGCTGGGTCACTGCAGATGAACAGGATCCCTGCATGGAAGGGGGGGGGGGGCAGTGTTACAACATCACAGATTTATCAAGACTGACACACATAGTTCAACATTCTGATACATTTATTTATTTTCTTTCCTATAGATTGCAAGGTCGATGACAAGAGACATATCATTCTCATTTCCTCGATTAAGGACAGAGCTGACTCAATCCAAAGTGAATATGCTCACTAATCTCACTTGTTTAATCAGCATACAAATAGAGAAGTAAAAACAACAATTAGTGGTTTTAGGGGGAGTTACATGGTGCTGTGTCATTACAGGTTTAAGATATTCAGTTTAGAACTCTGACAGAGATCTGACTGTTGGTGCTGTAGGGTGCTATAATACATTTATGGAGTGTACCTTTAAAACAAGAATTTCATGTATTTTGTATCAATGATTATTGTTTATTGTTTATATTCTAACCTCTACATTTATGACTTCAAACAATGCATAGCATACCGTCATAGAGGACTAACACATTTGAGAAGAAAATCAAATCAAAGAAATGTGGATATTTTTCATTAAAAAAAAAGACAATCAATTATCAAAATAGTTGGCAATTAATTTTATAGTCAACAAGTAATCGATTGAATGACTAATTGTTGCAGCTGTATTCTCTATTATTTAGAAAACTACCCCTAAAACAACAAACTGTAGCTTTTACATTTCTGTTTATGTCAAGATTTAAGAGACAATTTGTTTGAACTCTGCAGACCAACATCAGCCTCGTACCTTGGTCTGACCACAGTCAAAGATGGACCATACACACACGTCTAATCATGTCTCACCCATATGTCTGGCACTTCATTCAGGTTTAGAAGTCTTAGCAGGTAGAATGCTTTCTCTGTGTTGTAGTCCTTGGAAAACCGCGGCGTGTCAATAAAAGCCCTCACTCTGTAAATGATCCTGCCATAGTTGCCTTCAAAAGAGGTTGGAGCAGATTCTGTGGGAAAGAAGTCAAATATGTATTAGTTTTATCACACAATAGCAAATACAGACTAACAGGTTGTCATTATTGTCTTTTTGTTCCATTACCTTTAAAAAGACACATGAGCAGTTATTTTCCTAAATTCTCGTGTAAACATGGAAACAAGACTCCAGAGAGTGTACCAATACACCTGCAGGCACTCTAGCGGTGAAAGCACACACGCAGATCAGTAAAAAGACCGGTTGGGTTGCTTTTAAGTTTCTGTGATGTTCCACAATGCAGAGAAGGCTTTACCTAGAAAAATCCAGCAGGTTAAGTGGCCTAACAAAAGACAAACACAAGGCCTGGCTGTGTTCTTTCCTGCGTGAGAATTAACCATGGCAACAATTTGTAGAAGCTGTACACCTCTCCAAGACTCATGACTGTGCCAAAAATGCCTACCAAAATAAAAGTTGAAACTTAAAGTGTCTCAAGGTTCAAATGTCTTTAAGGACATTATTTGGACATCACAAGTTATTAATCTCATTACCCTAAGACACCAACATGTTTTCTGTCTCATTATCTGAAGATAACAGATATCAGTTTTGTGATGATTTCAAGCCTATTCTTTGAAATATAGAGGTAATATTTCATAATCTAATATCTCAGTATCTGAGAATAATTTCCTTATTGTTGTCTAAGTCAATAGAAAATGTGCTGATGTCATGAGGGAGTGCTCACAGTAATGAGTAAGTGGAACAATCTGACAGCTGTTGACATCATGTGAGTGACACAGTGACTAAAATGGGATGGAAATCTCATACTGAAAGAGACACACCCCTGTCTTCTTTTATTCAAATGCTCTACAACAGAAGACCCTAAACTGGGGCATCTCAAAAGTCACATACACCAGCTCTCTGTCAGAGAGAAAACTCTGCTTGATGATACCCCCAGTTAAGCAATTCATAAAGGAATGACTAGGAAAAAAAGAACAATTCTAAATAATAAAGAAAACACATCTATATATGTGAGTATATTAGGGATGGCAAGATTCACCAATTCACTGCAGTGCACCGGCATAAAAGATTGAGATGCAACTATAACGATTTAAAAAGTGTAAATTGGATACAATTTGGCCTGAACTTGGGATGCACGATTTCTAACATCTATGCATCAGTAAAATCATTAGTAGAAGCCTTTTGCCTTTATTGCTGATAAATGTGACCATAATTGTATATTCAGATCGATTCCTCCTCTCTAAGCGGTTTCTCAAGCTGCTCAAGAAAAAACAAAGAAATAAAATCAAACTATCTGTAGTGAATTGCATCATCTTGCATTGAATCGCACTGTGTTGAATGAAAGCGTGTCAAATGCACTGAATCAACCCTGACTGATGTATCAATTAGCCTATATTATTAGCTGATATTGGCCTATCACAGACATATCAGCATTGGTATGATTTGTTCCAACAGAACTTTTTTTCCCAGTACATAATGCAGAAAACAAGCCTGTGGTAAAATATTGGTGTCTCTGCAATGTGATTTGTCCACAGCTAACCTACTGAAGTTCAGCAAAATGTAGAGGAAGAGACGCCAGGTCAGGACGTAACGTATAACGCACATTTTAGTTGATGTAATGTTAAAACATTACATCATACATTTTTCACCGCTAAATTACTGCCACTAAATCCTACACACTCCTTTAAAGTGTCATAATTTAAATGTTCATCAAACTGTCAAAATCGAAAACACTACCTTGGTATAATAAGTTGTGCTGGTTCGAACAAATACTGGAAATCAGTGCATTGTTTCACACAACACTCATGAGCCCTGGTGAATGATGGGATAAGAGTCCCATCCTCACTGCTGCTGAACCATAACAGAATTAGGGTAAATATAAACATGCCGGGACATGTCTGACAGGCTGTGAAGGGCAACACACACAGACACACACACACACACACACACACACACACACACACACAGACACACACAGACACACACACACACAGACACACACAGACACACACAGCACACACACACACACACACACACACACACACACACACACACACACACACACACACACACACACACACACACACACACACGAAAGAATGTGTAGTGACAAGTGTTCATCCCATCACTCCACGCTCCTACCTGGAATGAGGAACTTGAAGGGAAAAGTGTGTTCTCCCTGTTTCAGGGTTCCTGTGCGGGACACAGAGAGCACAGATAACATCCATCAGTGGAAACAGTAACAATCGCCCTGCTGTTTCCCACCAGGCACATATGCCTCGGGGCTGCATGCAGTGTGGGAACCTTCACTCCCACAGTCTTTACACCTCAGTTATTTTAACCGCACTAGTTTTATTTTCCACAATGTAAAAATAAAAGAATATATTGTTTCATTGTTGCAAAAAGATTTTCGAATGTGCGACTAGTTTTTTCACTTTGTGTGTGGTAACATTTCCTGTCGTAAACCAACTCACAAGCAAGGGTTTGTAGTGAGCGCTTCAACCGTTCGGCGGCGTACCTTTATCTGCAACGGAGATGGTGCTGTTGAAGTACTGTTCGTCCATTGTCCACGCCGTATCATTTACCTTGCTGGTGATGCCACAGAAACCGTTGCAGTTCACTTTGATGGCTGCAGATAACACAGACATTGGAGGTTTCAGCCACAGAGACATTACTAAGCAACTGCAGCATGAAACACTTCTCATGAGCAAATAATGTCATTAGGGAGAGTCATTAATGTCATTTTCTCTCCAGGCAGAACCAAATAAGATCAACGAGTGTATTACACTGAGGCGCAGAGACAGAGAGAAGTGGTATGAAACCGGGCACTCTTGCAGTTCTGTGACTGAAGAAAGTACTGTCTGACCCAGGGCCCAAACTGAAACTTAAAAAGCTAACACCCATAGACCTTTTTCACAGCAGCCATTTTGACATGTTGGGTAATCACAGGTTTTACTAATGATACTAATTAAGATTCCATTCCATTCAGGGTAGCAGAGCCAATATGCACAATAGCAGCACTGACTCTGTTTGACCTGAATGGTCAAAATGGCTGCTGTAGAAAAGGTCTATTGTATTGTATTGTTAATATGCAAAATGGCTCTAGGATCCCAGGTTCCCTTCATTGACTGACTTCCTACACAGTGTCACACTGCCAGTGGGCTCAGATTATGAAAAAGAATGAATCATTTGGAATCCTTAAAGAGCATTTTTACCTCACAAACCCTTGGGATGGGCTAACTGTGGCAGGCGCCCCAATTTCACCCCAGCATCGTAAGTGGGGAGAGAGGGAGAGAGAGAGAGAGAGAGAGAGAGAGAGAGAGAGAGAGAGAGAGAGAGAAAAGAAAAAAATTTCAGGGCGCCCTGAAAAATTGATTGTAATAATTTACTTTAACACCCTTTTTTTTACCTCGTCTCTCCTCTTTTACTGAGATTAAACAGCACTAGCATTTCCCTCAGATTTCTGGGGCTATTATGAGTTTGTCATGTTTAATAGGCTTACATAATGAGGGTCCTCTGTTCAGTTTTCAATGGTTATGAGCAAATGAGCAATGTAACAGGTTAACCACAGACTACTACTGCTCATTGAGAAGTGTACAGCAAGTTCGTTTTGGAATCAAATGAATTGCATTTTTGTATTGGGGTAAAAATGACCTTTAGCAGAATAAAGATAAATGTGAGAATTCATGAGTTTTTAAGATTGCTATTTTGTTTTGTTAAGGCTACCAACAGTCAATGATATCTGCCAAAAACAGCTTTACCCTACATGATTAAAAAGGTATGTGAATAGCTGAACATTACACCACACACCGGCCTCCACCAGCCTTCCAGGCTTCCACCAGATGTTGGAAGCTGGCTGCAGGCATTTGCTCCCATTCAGGCACATCAGCATTAGTGAGGTCCAGCACTGATGTTGGATGGGGTTGAGGTCAGGGCTCTGTGCAGGTTCACTGGAAATCATGGGCCCAGACCAGGAAAGACAGACCCAGATGCAATAAAATGCAACTATTCATCAGTCTAAAAACAGATTTATTCTGCATCTCTGAAACAGTCCTTTATTAACAGTTAGAGCTCATATGCTCCAATGTTGAATACCCAAAGGCAAAAAGACACACGATCAAATTTCCAAGTTGACAAACGTGCTAACAGGGGAAACTGACATTGGTCAACTTTGTCCTGGTTTCGGTGCTACCTTCTTGCCTTTGGAGTCCTCTAGTAAACTCATCATATCCATCATCTCAAAGCTGAACCACAGTGACTGAAACGCTTTTGATTTCTAATGCAATGTCAATATTTGTCTAGTAATGTGTCTCTTATCTCAGTGCCCAACCCTCTTCATAATCCATCTGTGATTCAAACTGTAGCAGGTGAGAGAGATTCCTGGGAGGTGGCGCAGTGAAGCCCGCGGTCCGACCAGCTCTACCTGAAGAGGAATGTAAACAGACTGGAGGCCCCGCAAGCATTCAAACAGAAACTCCCAAACACATAAAAGCTTCTCTCAGCAAGTCCACATCCAAGTGCGTCCATTATCATCTGACACTTTGTCACAGCAGAGCTTTCGAGATCTCCAGTTTCAAAAGCAGAACATTTAGATGGGATGTTGCTCTGAAATGGAAGTGCCATTTGCTCCCTTTTCCAGTTTAAGTTTGTGTTCATAGGCCATGGGTATCATCCAGTTTAGGGGTTGCAACAAACAATTAATTTATTTATTACTGATTAACCTTTCCTTTTTCAATTAGAGATAAATGAAAGATATTTTATTTACAATTATATTTGCAGAGAAAAACAGCAAATCCACACATACAGAAGTATGGCAAAAGCAAAGAAAAGCCGTAATGGTTTGTGTCTTATAAACACTTAAACACATGATTGTGAAATTTAACCACAACTGAAACTAAATTGAAATATCTTAATAATAACTTAATTGATATCACTGAATATTTTAGAGCATTTTACAGCATCTTAATTTTCATCTGTATGATTTTTTTTTTTGCACATTGTACAGTAGCTTTCACAAAGTGTCTCAAATATATCTCCAAAACTGGATTGGTGAAATTCAGACAGCAAAATTCAAGATAAAAAACTCTGATCTGCAATAATCTGGTTCATTCTGCCACCAATATGGAATTCTTTAAGGATTCAGCTCTTAGCATTAACATTACCAGCAAAAAATGAAGAAGGAAATGGAATACTAAAAAGCCTTTATTGTAGTGGCTCAATCATAAAAAAGCCAACATGTTTTGACCACTGTAAGTCTTCGTCAGGGCTTTAGACCACAAACAATACAGGTGTGGCCTCCCCTATGACAGCAACAACCAATGGAAGGCAGTCACATGACCCAGATAATAACATAACAAGGAAAAAACTAAACAAAATGAGGTGAGATAACACAGAAAATGGGGAAGCCCATATAGACAGAAATTCTTGGCAACCAGGATACTTTAATGCATCCAGTCAATGGACGCCACTGTAATAACAGCTTTAATTTTCTATTTCCTTCCTTGTTAATATTTTTTGGACTCCCAAGAGCACCAACACACTGATTTACGGTTGAGTATACAGAGCAACCAGTCATCTCCTTCTACCATGAAACAACATTCAGCAACATTCTGGCTGCCAAGGATAAACAATCCAGCCTAAATGGAATCAGACCTCTGTCCTATCATTCTGTGGAGTTCAGATGAGCGGCTGAATTCTAGTTCTGAACTTATGAACCTGAAAACCACAAAACATCAGCGATTCAGACAGATGGTAAAATATTTCACTGCTATTCATTAGTTGTATTTAAATGTCAACATTGAGATTAAGTAGTGGTTTAATGTTACAATTATTTATTATTATTATTATTATTATTATTATTATTATTATTATTATTATTACGGTCCGTCTTTGCTTCAATAGGGAAGCTGGAACCAGAAAAGGTTTGGCATTTTTGCTTCATAAATGGTTTAAATAATTCATGTTGTCGATTCATTTTCTGTTGGATGACTAATCAGTTAATGAGCTATTAAAGCACTTCTTCAAGCAGCAACTATTAGTTGATAAATAAATTAGTTGATCAACAAAAACTGAATCCACAACTATTCTATAAACCACTGTTTAAGTCATTTTTCAAGCAAGTGTGTGAACACATTTGATAGTTCAAGATTTTCACATGTGAGAATGTGCTGTTTGTCCTTGTCTTACATTACAGTAAATCAATACTCTTTTGATTTGGGATAAAACTGGATGTATAACTAACCCAACGCTGGTAACAAGTGAATTACCGTCAACAGATGAGTTGATAAAGTGAAGTTCCTTTGTCTCAGCAGTAACTGCAGTAAACACCTGTCGGCTATCTGATCCAAGATCTCCAACATGTGACAATGAAACCAATCCTCCAACGTCTTTCTGGACCCTTACAAAGAGCATCACACTGTAGAAACCCAGCAGCCTGGAGAGCTCAGACTGCACACTAACAGACCACAGAACCCTGATAAAGTCATACAGTAGCTGCTACATGTCACAGACAGTAACATACAGTGGATTGCTTCAGGCAGGACGGAAACTACTATTGAGGAAACTGAGGTCCTGTTTAGATTTATTTCAGGGATTGTCTGGGGATTTTCAGAACGGCTGGGTTTTATGTTGATGGATATTTTATAGACTGATTCCAGTAGCTGTTACTCAGTATATACAAGTTTCAACTATTTTATTGTTTTAAGTTCCATTATTTCCCCACCAGAATTTCCAAATGAAAACCACATAGTTTTCATTTGGAAACTTAAGAATTAGATTTTAAACTTCTAATAATTTATTTGAAGAATGCAATGTCCAGAGGCTGGAAACTGATTCTCTGAGTTCATGGAAGGTTTTGTAGAGGTGGGGTTTTCACAGGAAAGAGGCCTTCATGATGGAAAACAACATTCACAGAATATGGAACTTAACTCTTCACTGAATACAGAGAATACTGACACTACAACGTCAGTCTATTTTTGGTGTAAAGTCAAATATTTATGTGGGAGAGGGGATTCATATTTCAAGTTATCCTAGTTACGGCCCTGTCACTAAGTTTCTGTTATAATACAAGAGAAAACCACACCCACAACCACAACCACATCCAATTAGATTTAATTATTATAGTCTGTAGTAATATTACAGGAACATTGTACCGTAGAGCTGCTGTATGAAATGACCATTAAAGTCCCATTACTACCGCACACACACCCATACCTAACATTCTCAGACCGGACAGCCACAGTGTGAGAGGCCGACATTACAGCAACCCTAATCTTTGCTGAACATCTTACTTCCTTGTTTAGCGACGGCGACGTTTTCCCAACAGGTGCGCAAATGTAGGCGAAATACCCGCAGTACTAGCGGGCTCTTACCTTTGCACTGCAGCGGCTGGCCCAGTTTAATGGCCAAGGTTCCGGTGATAGACTCTCCCGGACTGTACACCACTTTGTTTTTGTCGAACGTGATCTCGAACTCCTGAAGTTTCCCCATGTTTCCACCGATCCACGGCGAGACTGCGGATCACCTGTGCACATCAGCGGCAGCACGCACGTTTACGACTCTCAGTCCCCGCCCCATTTGCGGAACGTCACCGCCCTCTTCCAGATGAGAAAGATGATCAGGGTTTATGATGATGTGATATTGATGTAAGCTGTGTCTCCTGAGTCCCATACTGTCCATCTCAGAATGATGAGAAACTTTCTCCATATATTGACTGTATATTGGGCTTCCATAGATATTAAGACAATAACTAATAAATAAATAGATAAATAAATAAACAAACAAAAAACCTGTTAAAACGATGAGACTGTTCTCCCAATTCAATGCTTTCATGTAAGTCACTTTCTATTTATTTATATTGACTCCTGGCATGTTTATTTATTTATTTATTCATTCATTCATTTGCCTCATCACATTGGTCATTTTTGTTACTTACAGGTTTTACCCAACAAATCATTGTACGCAGAAACTCAAGAAAGACATTGATGGAAGTTATACCTTTTGTGGAGACCTTAGAGAAGCACTGGTACATGAGCTGTGGCTCAGAGGCAGAGCGGGTCGTTCCTTAATCAGAAGGTTGTGGGTTTGATCCCTGGCTCCTGGTGCCTCCTTGACCAAGATACTGAACCCCAAATTGCTCCCGATGCCGTGCATCAGTGTGTGTGTATGAATGTTAGTTTCTGTTCGATGGACTTTGCCATCACTGAGTGAATGTGTGTGAAAGGATGAATGTGGCACGTAGTGTAAAAGCACTTTGAGTGGTCGGAAGACTAGAAAGGCGCTATACAAGTACAGGTCCATTTACCGTTTGGTTTTGCCAACATACAAAACAACTGTGGAGTAAATTGTCTTGAGTTATTGCCGATCACATATCCTCAAGTTATGTTACTTTGGGAAACGTATTGTTTGGATTTACGGAATATGACAGGAATCTCTGTTCACAGTTCTGCTGATTCACCAAATCATATATTCACAAATCCAAATTTTAAGCATACAGCCAAAATATAGAGCTCAATGTCCATACCAACTATAGTTCTTCTATATCTGAATGTACAAACAAGCTGTTAATACATACAAACCAATGTAAGCTATTTTTAAATGTATGTTTTATTATTAATTAGCTTAGTCCCCTTAAGCTGAGGCTTATATGTGATTATACTCAAGCTGTATACACAGAATGTTTAAACTTGTGGTATGTTTGTTTCAATAAAGTACTCATGTTATGGTGAGAATAATATAACACAGCCTTATATATTGATATTGGATGTAATAAGACTAACACTTACAGCTAACTAACAACATGTAAAGTGAACAATAAGCATGTCCGCCAAACCTTTCTGGAGAACATTAAGGACATAAAGTTGCTCTTACCCTATAAGGCTGAGGAAGTACACTTCAAAATATTACACAAAATATACCCTTCTAATTGTGTTGTCAGGCATTAATATTTCTTGTACCTTTTGTAGTGTAGAAACAATTTCTCACCTATTTTTTAATTGTAAAATATCCCAAAGATTCTGGAGGCGATTTGCTTTCTTGTTGAGAGAAATGAGACACTCTCAAGTCTGTACAACAAGCAGCTGGTCAGCTGAATGAGACTGTACCTGAGAAACAGTTCTGCATAAAACCACCAGGAAAAGGTTTTTTATTCTTCTCTTTTCATAGTTATACTATGTTAATTAGTTAGCTTTAGAGGTGCTGGTAAGTGGATTTACCTTTTGTCCAGGACAAGGCTGTTTACAGTCTTTATGACACACTTTAGGCTGCTGACTGTAGCTTCACATTTACGAGAGGGGCTACAATCTTTTCATTTAATTCTCAGCAACAAAGTCAAATTTGCCAAAAAGTCAAACTAGACTCACGGATACTGTGTCATTGTCACGTTTTGCCTTGCCTTGACGAGAAAAGTACACGTGTATGAAGGTGCTGTACCAGCAGCAGTATAAAGACTGACAAAATCTGCATTTGGAGGGAGGTCTGGATATATGGATGGATGGATGGATCAAACAAACACAACAAAGGACTTTCACTCAGGAGAACCAAAAGTCAATGATGACTTGTTAAGTAGGATCATTTCCTGAACCTAACCAAGTAGTTTTTTTTCTCAGAAAGCTTTATTTTGAAAGTGTAACCAGACATTACATATTTATTATTGCAAACTTTACCACGGAATGAGCACGCGTTCAAAAGGTGACACTGCAACGCCTAAGCATGGCAAAACGTGACTCTGGAACGCTTTGGTTGCCGTGTATATTACACACTTTGGCATTATATTGGGTTGGGATAGGAGCTGAGTAGGGATATCCATTTTAGTACTGTGCAAAACTAAAGTACTAAATGTTATTGTGAAACTTAAAAATAAAGAATAAATAAGAGACCTACAGGGAAATATTCTTCACCAGGCTTGTACTGACCAAGAATTTAGATTGTATGGATTTTAAGAGAGAGTTCACCGATCTAAACTTTCCACAAACGTTGAATCCTGGGCCTCCAAAATGTCGGTCCCACTCGGTTATTGTGCATGACTCCATGTTACTGATTTGCAGTCATTTCAGAGTCGCTCCTGTTCGGAACGTCTCCCTGCCTAATCCTGAAAGATCCGAATGCATCGCGAAAGTTTTGTGACCCAAAACAGTATAACAGTGGATCCAGGCAGCTGTTCACTCCCGCTAAAATCCAGGATGCATAATACGCCGTCTCGATCTTCAGAAGAGCACGGCACTGTTGCGGGTAGAATTTTTTTAGTACCACTCCCACGGTTCGTACCACGTTCAGAGGCAGAAAGCACAATGCAAATATCACCAGACACACGCCTATCATCCTCTGAGACTTCACCTTGACCCTCAAGCCTTTCGCTGTGCTGATGTTGAGGCGAGTTAAGGTGCTCGCCAAGCGACCATAGCAAACAGCTGACACAAGGAAAGGGAGGAGAAAGCCAAAGATGAACAGGATGAAGTTAATGATGAAGTAGGCATCTGTCAGGTTGCTCTGATGGATGGTGAGGCATTGACTGTGACTGCCCTCTTTACTTGGAGGAAGCATGAAAGCCCAGATCAGAGCCTGGATCAGTAGCAGGGACCAAACCCCTGCACACAGCTTCCTGACAAACTCCTTCTGCTTCATGCAGGAGCTTCTGTTGTACTGCACCACGGCTGTGTACCGATGGATGCTGATGAGAGTAAGGAATATGGTGCTGCCGTAGAAATGTGAACTGAGCAGGGCGATTTTGACCTGGCACAAGAACCGACCGAAGGGCCAGTCGTTGCCCATGGCGAAGTACACCGCCATCATGGGAGTGACTGGGGTGGCGATGGCGTCACTGAGTGCCAGGTTGAACTGCAGGGTGGTTCCAGAGGTCCAGCATGGCAACCGGCACCAGAACACCCAAAGGCTGAAGGTGTTGAGTATGAAGCCCAGGAAGAAGACCAGACACAGGAGAGCGGTGATGGACAGGTTCTGGGTCTCCCCCAGGCAAGGTCCAGACTCATTGCTGCTGTTCCCAAGCTGTGAGGAAACCACCAGAGGCTTCATCGTCTCAAAGATTTTATTGTTTCTCACACCTGTGGGAAAAGTACTTCAGTATCACATAACTCAAATGTAACTTTTTCATATAAGCTCAATAAACAGATAGCTGAATGCAGATTTTTCCAAGCACATAGTCTGCTTGGAATAATGTGTGTCTGATATGTTTTTTCCACCAATAAAAGTATATTTTCCACATTAAAATCCATAAAAAGCAATCTCCTCCTTCTACCTCAGTAGAAATTCCAGAATATCTGAATATGCAAATGTTGTTAATACAACAATAATAATAAAATAATAATAATAATAATAATAATACAATAATTCTAAAGTTTTGCTGCTGGACACAAGATGTCTCCTACTTCACTGTAAAGTCCATTCTCAGTGGATGTGCACTGGTGGCTTCAAGTTTCTACCGTGTTGTTTTTACAGTCTATACAAATATACAAATCATCGGCAAAAAGAGTATTTCTCTCATACATGTATAATTAGTTTGCCTGAAAAGGATCTAAACCCCCTCTGTGCAATTATTGTGGTGTAGATTGATGGATAAAGTCTTTGATTGTAGATGACAGCAGATGACACTTGACGGAACAGCATCAAAGGCAATTGCATATTCCCTAGGATGTATAGGAATGTTATACTCTGATTAGAATTAGTTATATGTAAACATAAGTCAATTTGCCAAACTGCAGTATGTCTCTTTTCAGTGATTAATCCTTTCAAATGAAAGAAGTGAATCTGAAATAAATATGTCATTATTAGGCCACACTTTCTTTTGAAAGCTAATGGTCAGAGGCTCCATGAAATCTGCTGTGGATATTCTTGTCTACATTCATCCTGATGATCTGGAAATTACTTGAACCTTTCCTCCAAAGAAGATGAATGCTTTCCATTTTGCAAAAGTACACACATTATTTACAGTGTTTCCTCTAGGATTTTTTTTAGCAGTGGGGGCAGGCCTGTCCGAAAGTAAAAAGTACTGTCTTGGTTTCTCTGAAGGACACATAAGATGCACTGGTCTTGAGTGTGCAATGATGTTGTTGAGTATGGAGTGCCCCAAGTGTCAACTTTGGGACCATTTCTTTATATGCTGCCATTAGGTAGGATTATTCAGAGACATGATGTTTCCTTTCACTGTTATGCTGATGACTATCATTTGTATGTCCCCGATAAGCCCACTGACGTCAGTATGCTCAGTTCTTTACAGGACTGCCTCATAGATATAAGAAACTGGATGTCTAAGAATTTTCTTTAGTTAGACTCAACCTAAATAGAGATTATTCTTATTGGAAAACACAAACATTCAAATACCACCCCCTACTGGGTATTTGTCAGAATAATCCTGTTGCTAGAAATCTTGGTGTGTTCTTTGACAGTAATTTAAGCTTTACAAACATGCTTTGCATCAACTAAAGCCCTATTCGCACGGGACTAATATTACCTGGGGACCTCTAGTAATTTGTAATAATTGCGGAGGTCGTCTGGGATCTTAATCCCGTGCGAAGCTGCCATGTCCGTTATTTGTAAAGTAAAAATTCCACCATATTTTACCTACCATATTTTGCCAAACACAGAGGTCATGTGATAATATTAGTCCTGTGCAAATCGGCATCTCTGTGATTTGGGGTCTTTTTTTTTTTTTTTTTTTTTTTGTTTTTGTGTTTTCCGCACCTTTTTTCTGCCTTTTTCCCGGTCGAGAATTATGGAGGCTGCGTTGGCAATTATAAATGAAAGTTTTGACAGCATTTTGGGTGCAAATTCAGAAGGCTCATCTAGGCACAGCATGGAGACCCATTCGCAGAAAGAGCAAACTGAAATCCATCAGAAGAGTGAAATCTCGAAAGATGATTAGATGGATTACATGCAAGAGGTCTTTGTAAATACTTTCCCAAACTGTGTGGTTGTGCACCATTTGATCAAATTGCTTTTGGTAATGTGGTTCACCTCACACAGCAATTAAACTGAGCGTCTCTTCGGGCGTCCAATACCGGGTTTTTTTCTTTGCAGCCATTGCTCTTGTCGTCCAGGAAGCGGATGTTACGCATAGGTTACACAGAGCCTTGACATCATATCCGGGGGATAATGTCAGTAAACTCGAGTTAAAACACAGACTTCGTTTATCCCGTGCGAATGAGCCGCACGAAACACAGACGTGGTGGGGTAATTACTAAATCACATGAGGTCCCCAGGTAATACTAGTCCCGTGTGAGGGCTTTACATGCTTTAATCACACCTGGATTACTGTAACAGCCTTTTTACATGTCTAATAGATAAACTGTAGAGAACAGCTACAGAAGTTTGAACCCAACAGCCAGCTCTAGCCTGTTTACACTGACATCCTGTTCATTTTAGAATTGATTTTAAGGTGATTTTAGTTACTTACAAGGCACCAAATGGTCTGACTCTTCAGAGTAGCAGATCTATCCCTGTACAACCCTGCCTGCACTGCACAGATCCTCTGGCAGTTGCGGGGGCTGCTCTAGAAAAATGGCCAGAGGGTGGCATGGAGACTTTAAGGGGTGTCAGAAATATTTGCTGATTTAAACACAAACAATCACATATATCAATAATTACTTGAAAAAGCCCTCAAAAGACATTGGAACTAAAAAACATTACATTATTGTGGCACATTAGTGAAGCATTAAATAGAAGTCACATTTTTAAAAATCAAATTATTTCCAAATCTTTAGACATTTTTCCAAATACAAAAAAATATCTGTTTTCACTGAACCGAAGCCTATCACTTCGACTAAAATATGTCCATAACAGATTGGTAAATTCATCTCTATTTGATTTTTCAATAAATGTGTTAAATTTGACACCATTTTTACAGCAAACTGGGGAGGCAGCTGACACCCAATGCGACCCATCTAGATTTACTCTGGGCTTTCAGCTGAAGACTATGGCAGACAGGCTCTGGAACACGCTGCCTGAAGAAATACAGCAGGCTGAGTCAGTGACTTCTTTCAAAGATAAGTTCAAAAGGTACTTTTACTGCATCAACTTCCCTAATTTGATCTGATTCTAGTTTTTATTCAGTTTAGGGGGTTTGCAATTCAATTGTTTTTTTTAAAAGGTTTGTTTTAGTACTAACACAATACAATAAATTCAACTTTGGGAAGAGCTGCACACTCAACTACACTGACCTTTTTGCATTGTTTGCAGCACGTTATATTGTACGGTATTTGCTTACTTTGTCCACCTGGTATGCCTTTGGTCTCTTCAAGATCACAAAATCACTTACTGTTCTAAGGTGCATTATTTGCACCCAGGTCTATAAATACATACATAACACCCATTTACTTTGATCTACATGTTTTATTATTATACATATTTTGTTACATTTGTATTTCTCACTAGTCCCACATTGCTTTACTGTCACTGAATGGCTCTAACCTGCATGAAAAGTGCCATACAAATAAAGTTAGTTTATTGATTAATTGTAGTTCATAGATTCTCCAAGTGTGTAGAACTCTACTGGAGGGATGAACAGCATTCTACCAAAGATTTCCCCTTTTTCTGTATTTATTTGATCTAACTGCTAGATGTGTATTGGTGATCTCTTTAAGGCGACAAACTCACTTCCTCTTCTGAGATGCATTATTGGTGTCTATGTCTATAAATATACACAGAACACATTACATTTCACTTCCCCACAGTGAGGTGTTCTGACATTTTCAAACTTGTGTGGTCGACTATAGGGCAACCCAATCAACCTTAAAACGTGTAAAATATTTTACTTAAGTAAGTAAAGTCCTTTGCTAAAGCCATTGGAACACTTCATGTTGACCATTTAAAAGAATCACTCTAATCACTAAGTTGCAACAGTTTTGTTAGACATATACGTACGGTATAAGGACATGGATGACAAATTAAACATTAAGTGTCTATGTAAGGTGTTGTTCCACTACAAGCCTTCAGTGCCACCGGACTTAAAGACAGCTTCTTCTCTCAAGCTGAGATTGTTAAATTCTTCCTTAAAAATTCATCATACAAATTAGCATTTTTTTATTTTTATGACTCTTTTTTTTTTTTTTTTAAGTAGCATAAAGGGAACTATATCAGAATTTCATTGTACAACATTGTGTTGTAATAAAATGGCTTCCTGCGATCCTTCAAACCTTTTATTCACCGCTTCTGTTTTTATTGTTTTATCTTTCGTTTTATTTATTGCTATGTTTTACCGTGTGTATTGCTTATTCAACACTGTTACTGATGGAGCTATGGGACTTAGTGTTTGATTTCTGTTGTCTTTGTTTTTCTACTTTGTAAAGCACTTTGTAAACCTGGTTTTGAAAGTTGCTACATAAATAAAGTTTGTGGCCATAATTTATTTTATTTAATATTTTAATTTGAATATTTTAAAATGTTTTCTCCCTCCTATTTATTTGATTTGTAATTGTCTTTAATCTATATTATTGGTTTTATTATTACATTATTACCTTCCGTAACTGTTCAGTTGGGTTGAGATCTAATGACTGTGAGGGCCACAGCTTATCATACACACCATTTATATACTTATTAAAAGCTTTCAGTGAGCACTTGAGATCTGTATCTGTATCCATCTGTTTCTCCACCTATTTATTCAGCTTTTTCCTTTAACTTAGCACCCATGTGCAGTGAGGCTGGTGGTGATTTTGGGTGGGTGGGCTAACAAATGCATTACACTCATCAATACGTCACACAGCAGCAACAGCAGCATCACATCAAGGTACAGCAACAACATTGTATACTTTGTTATAGCAAGGGCTCTACGGCAACACCAGGGAGACATACCCAAAACAATGACCTGATGCCAAAAAAATCTCTCTCTCCTCTGTACACATCAGCACATTCCAATTGCGCTACAACATTATAGAAAATTACCAGCAACAATTTGCAACACCATGTACCACAATAGATCTATAAAACCAAAGCAAAAATAATTATCTGTAGAAGAGAGAGTTGTTTCAGAGCTGGGCATACCTTATTTCAAACGCAGCTCACATCGACAGGTTAACAGGTTAATCACCATGTCAAACTCCACAGTGCTGTACCTCACCATCAGCTCACCTTTCACTTTCTCTCTGCAGATCATTGGCTAATGTGCACGTGCAAAGACAACAAGTGCCTGACTTTCTCAAAGCGAGAATTGACTGCTCGACCATTACGTCACAGCACTGTGCTGCTACTGACACATTATCGCGCGCTGCAGCGGTTGCAGCGGTTGCAGCGGCTGCAGATGTGTCCACATTTGTCATCTGTGGTCAGCAGTTCAGATATGAAGCACGAATTTCCCAGGCCCTGTCTCGTTCTGAGAGAATCTGTGGTCTTAGACGTGTACTTTGCAACCTGTGTGTTTGACAGGTGATCTGCTGATTGACTGTCTAAAAAGAGAACTGGTCCCCGCTGGAGTGAAGTGGGAGATTAATCGTTCCCCCACAAAATGTAATACAGTCCACAGTCCGTGACAGTGAATGTCTGTGTTTCTTCACCAGCTCGTTGTGTCTCTGTACAGCGGTGCAGTGACCCTCATTAAGCTGACAGATGTTCACTTTACCCAGCAATGACAACTTTACGCTATTTCCAATGTGACTCGTGCTGCATTCATGTTTCCTAATTTTGTCGGATAAATGTTTTTCATCTTTACTGTAAAAGATAGGGGGGACTTAGCCCTGTTAGCCCATATATACCAGCCATCCCTGCCCATGTGTATATATTGTACAAACAGACCATTCCTTAAAGCCCCCCCCCTCTTCTTATTCCTACAGTGTGCTGTTTGAATGCTGTCTGTGCAGTTTGACTCTAGAAGGATGTTTTCACATTCATCTGCTGAAAGTGGAAAGTTTCTCTGTGCTCATTGAACATCTGATTTGTGACGTCACAAATAGTTTGGTCAGTCAGTCCTGGTCCAGTATGCAACTTGTACAGTTTTGTACACTGTTATATGAGTAAAGAAGTTGACTCAGTACTAATACTTTTAGTCTTTTTTTACACACTTATCTGTACATCTGCTTGAGTAAATAATGTGTGTACTTTTGCAAAATGGAAAGCATTCATCTTCTTTGGAGGAAAGGTTCAAGTAATTTCCAGATCATCAGGATGAATGTAGACAAGAATATCCACAGCAGATTTCATGGAGCCTCTGACCATTAGCTTTCAAAAGAAAGTGTGGCCTAATAATGACATATTTATTTCAGTTTCACTTCTTTCATTTGAAAGGATTAATCACTGAAAAGAGACATACTGCAGTTTGGCAAATTGACTTATGTTTACATATAACTAATTCTAATCAGAGTATAACATTCCTATACATCCTAGGGAATATGCAATTGCCTTTGATGCTGTTCTGTCAAGTGTCATCTGCTGTCATCTACAATCAAAGACTTTATCCATCAATCTACACCACAATAATTGCACAGAGGGGGTTTAGATCCTTTTCAGGCAAACTAATTATACATGTATGAGAGAAATACTCTTTTTGCCGATGATTTGTATATTTGTATAGACTGTAAAAACAACACGGTAGAAACTTGAAGCCACCAGTGCACATCCACTGAGAATGGACTTTACAGTGAAGTAGGAGACATCTTGTGTCCAGCAGCAAAACTTTAGAATTATTGTATTATTATTATTATTATTATTATTATTACTGTTGTATTAACAACATTTGCATATTCAGAGATTCTGCAATTTCTTCTGAGGTAGAAGGAGGAGATTACTTTTTATGGATTTGAATGTGGAAATTATACTGTTTTTGTGAAATAAACATATCGGACACACATTACTGTTCCAAGCAGAGTATTTGTATGTTGTAATACATGTCCTGGCAGTAAAAACTTTGAGTGCAGTAACACATCAGCTGTTTCTCTTTCACACCTACGCAGCAATTACTAATTACCTGTTAAACAATTTGTAATTACAGGTATGGCAAAATAAATATCAATGAGATGACTTTTAGGTATTCTGTAAGACAACAGAACAATGTAACTGTAGAAAAGATTTTTAGCATCAAAAATGTGTCCTCTGTAGTGTAAGCAAATTCAGCCAGTAGCCTTCAGAGTGTTTTCATAGCTGTTGTCATGTTCATCATCATCAGTCACTACTATTAGTGTAGTTGTTGCTACTGTTGTTGCTGTGCACCTGTCTGTCTGTCTGTGTCTCTCTCTCTCTCTCTCTCTCTCTCACCCCAACTGGTCGAGGTAGACGACCATCCACCTAGAAACGGGGTCTGTCCTAGGTTTCTGCCTTTTAACAGGCAGTTTTTCCTTGCCCTTGTCTCCAAGGTCTTGCTCATGGTGGTACTGTTGGGTCTCTGTAATTAATGTTTTAAAGAGTTCGGTCTAGACCTGCTCTATTTGAAAAGTGTCCTGAGATAACTTCTGTTATGAATTGGTGCTATACAAATAAAATTGAATTGAATAGCTGGAAGGTAGAACTTGCACGGTTCTGTGGTGTTGTTCCCTTTTCTTTATCTGCTAGTAATGCTGAAATAACCACCCAATTTTTTGACCAGAGGCACGATAATGAAATAACTGTGAGATTAGGTGTGGTTTCACTCGAGACCAGAGTGCTGTTGTGAGACTCGTGAAGTGTTAGTAATGTATGTGCGTATGTACACGGTGGTACGAACATTATTTTTACTGACTATAACAGTAATGACCTTTCTTGTATCCTGATTAAAAAAACTCTCTTACACGGACAACAATCTGTTACTCCTCAAACCTGCCAAGGAAGCATGTTTAAAATAAAAATGATCACTCAGGACCATGGATAGCATACACAACCAGTATGTGAAACATAATGCAACACAGTGCAATAAATCCTGCCTTGGTGATGTTTCTATTATTCAGTCTTCTTTAACAAGGCTGTTACAGAGTTGATTCGACACATTTATTTACCACTCTGAGGCATCTGAATTGCAATATGTTGTATGGTTTTCCTGTTTCTTTTTGGTTGACATTTACATCATCTATATGAGGAACTGAGGAATTAATATAAGAGATGAAGTATTAGTATTTAATCTGTATATATACCAATATACCCTCACACTTAAGAAACCACAACTGAGTTTTCCCATCATTTTCAAATGTACTGCAGAAACGTCTGCGAAGATCTTACCAGTGTTGAAGTCGTCTTCAGTATGCTGAGCCCAGTTAAACACACTACCTGTTTTTCTCTCGCACTGCCTACTTATGTGTTGTGTGGCTACCAGGGGAGTTACCCAAACAGGTCTACAGACACCACACTTTTTCAGTTTTAGTCACGTTATGTCATGCAATCCGTACAGAGGTGTTGAAGTGTTGCAAGATCTGGCACTGCATCTTTTCAGTTTTCCTGGAACACAGTAACACCACTGTGTATTTCTAAATAATCATTTATTTACAGCTTTTTGTTGCTCTACTGACACAGTTTAATTATAACACACTGATAGCCTGACTACATATGAAAATACTGTATATTTGGACAATAATGCAAGGGAACAAAGTTTAGAAAAGTCCCCCCCTCCCCCTTGAAGAAAAATTGTTGGCCACTGGACTACACGGTCAGTGCTGGAAGACCCTCTCAGAGACAAACATCTAAACAAACAATAAACATAAAACAATCAATAATGTAAAACGTTCAGTCTTTTTAAAAATTCACGAGCCAATTGGTGGCTGTATTTACAGTCAGTCACTGATTGGTGTTTCAGCTGTGCTCTCAGAGAGGTGTAGTCGGGGTGGAGGCGGTGGTGGGGACGGTCACCGGGTGCAGCCCCAGGTCCAGGGATGGGGTTTCCTCCAGCGGAGGGGGGCTCTTCTTCTGGGCCTCCAGCTTCTCCGTCAGCTGGGTGAACAGCTCCTTCACCGGCTCGCTGCTCTGTGGTCAGCAGGCACAGCGTCATACAAAGTGTCAGTGCATACAGTACATAAAACACACCAAACACAAGCGCTTTTTCTCACAAACATGTTTGTGAAATGACTAAATGCCAGAATGTCAGTCTGAGAATTTGTGCATGTACATGATGTTATTTAAGATTATTGCCTGGTGGTGTTTCAAGATACAGCGAGAGGAAATTACAGAATATTTCCTGTCTAATGAGGAACAGCTGCATACTGTAAATCTACATCCAGCCTATGGTCAGTAACAGTCCTGACCATAAGCTAGATGTAGATTTATCCACAGTGAAACAAAGTGGCAGGCAAATGTTATCAGTGTTCTGGAACTCTGAAGTGAAGTCCTGTAGAGAAATGTGAAGTGTGAACCTATCATGGCGTCCCATCGGTTTTTGGACTACTGTTTTGAAGTCTTGAGTTCGGCATTATGGCCTTTGCTATTTCGTTTTTTCCGAGCTAGGAGCCTAGACGCACTGCACTTAGTTTAACTCATCTGTAACAGGAAACAATGGCGGCTCGCCTGGCCACACACGTTCTCGTATTACAGATAAATAGTACACTAAAGCAGTGGTTCCCAACCTTTTTTTCTTAAAGGTGCCCTTTTCTATCATTAAGTAAACGGAGTGGATCTGTGGATATTTCATATATCACATTCAGTAACACATTATGTGAACACAATGGATGCACTTGGCTACAACTAGGGTCCATTTCAGAGCACGAGCTGAGTATAGAAATGAAGCCAACCTGTTTCGGAGGTTCAAGAGTTTTCATCAAGGTTTCCATACATGATGGCAGCACTTTGTGGTGTAGGTGCAGCAACATCCGGAGGGTGTGTCTGTGGACGTTCTCTTTACTGGGAAATGTTCAGACAAAAACAAACAAGGACACATGACGGAGATGTCTGATTTCAATGTAACAAGGATAATAGTGAAACTGTATGGTGTACGGGAATTAGCATGTTTACAAACTAGCTCAGCTGGCTCAGTGTGTGTAATGCTGCATTCACATGGATTCAGACAGACAGTAGATGGCAGACAGACAGCACCTTCCTCACAGCATGGGAAAAACAGACAGACACTCCGACGGGATGAAAACATGTTGCTATCGTGTTTACAAAAAATATAATAAAATATATCGAATAAGATTATTTTGTGAGTATAGTACTTTATGTGATTATTTCATTATTAGCGTCCAGATAGCTCCATGTTGTCTCCTTGCATGAGGGAGCTGTGGAACATTTTTTAAATTCCATTGCGGAGGACGGCAAAAAGTTAAAACATTCAAATTTTGGATGGCAATCCGGTCTACTAATACCGTTGCAGATATTCTCTGCCAGCCTTGACTGATGTTACTGTCCTGCTCTCATCCACCAACATGACATACAGTTTGCCATCTACCACTGGCCTGATTCCATGTGAATGCAACATTGGGTGGAAACTGACTAAGTCCTGCCCCTTTTTGCAGTGTCCTCCAATAACAGTTGAGAAAGCCTCGGTCAACTTCCTCCTTTCCTGTACTTAGATATGCTATGTGCTAGGCTAATCTATGTTGAAAAGAAAACCACATTTTTGACATGGTTAAAAGATAAAAATGACATATAGTCACATTTGAAGTTAGCTAATGTTAGCAAACTGTTTGCTAACTAGCCAGCTATTCTACATCAATCATTAGCTTGCTAGTTACATATATTTTGCTAACATTAGCTAGCTAAAGATGTGGCTATGTCGCTTTTATCTTTTACCATCTTCAAAATGTTCTGTGAATGAACCACATAGCACATTTAAGTAGAGGAAAGGAGGAAGTTGACCGAGGTTCTGTTCTGAGACTTGTTCAACTGTTATTTGAGCACAGAGCAAAAAGGGGTGGAACTTAGGAAGGGTTGATGGGACATGCGTGTTTGTTTCATCTCACTTTGTGTTTTATGCTGATGACGCACTAGAATGATGTGGAACTTTCTAAAGTAGACTACACTGACTACGGGTGCACAGCTAAGATCTGCTAGAATCAACCCACCTAGAAAAAGAAGTAAGAAGGAAGCCATCAAAGACAACTGAACAAAACTCTTCTGATCCAAACTCATCAGAGAGCAGGGTGAGGTGCCCAGTCAGCAGGTGCAGGAAGATGTCACCAAAGGCCATGTCGTTGTAGGTCTCCACTGAGGGGGGACAGCAGAGATCCAACTCTTATACTGACACGTTTTCAATAACAAAAACAGCTATTTAACTGGGAACCTGAAACAAACATGCCATAAAAAAACTGCCACATGAGAACAGTTTGGTCAATAAAATTAAATATCAGACTGCATTTTGTTATAAAGAGGGATGTTGCTTCTGCATTCTGGGTTTGGCTTGCGACCTTTAAAAAAAACTGCAGTTTTAGAGAATATGGTTTCAGACTTCTCATATTTTACTTCTTCCCTCTGGGAAGAGCGACACTCACCTAGGGCAGGTAGTAACCTCTGTAAGGCATTCTTGTTCCTCAGTTTGGCAATGTGGAGGACATAGTAGAGACCCATTTCACAGGCCACTCTGTTCTCCTGCAGGTACCTGAATGGGAGACACAATCACAAGACTTCTCACTGGAGCATTTTTTTTAAATTCACATCTGACATTTCAGAAAAGGAAACCCCTCTTTGACGGAAGTAGTGGCCAGTTTGTGGCAGTTCTTATTCCAGAGATTTCTGAAAGCAGCACATTTATGTAATGCTTTGCTCCAGATAAGTAGTCTCATGAAACCTGCTGTTAAACAGTAGTCTAATCTGGCTATCAAGAAATCATCTTCCAGGAGTTTTCCTTGACAATACAGGATAGCACTTGCTCACAGTAGTGAGATAATAGCAGACTTAGAGTTTCCCTTTATCTGTAACATTAATTTAGCCAGAGCCCATAAATAATTATTCAAATCAAGTACAATATTTTTGATTTCACAGATTGTACTTCTCACATATTATCCTACTAAAAGAAGATATAGATACATGCAGACTATCTACTGCATTTCCAAAGTAGACTTGACGGCAAACATTCGCTGCAAGTGGTGTGAACCGCCCCAGACTGACATGGGAACAGAAATGAAAAGGAGCATTTTTTTTTCGTTCCGCTTTGTGTCTGGTAAACCAATTTTGAAGTGGCATAGTGAACAGCTTATCCCACCAACAATCAAGTTTCATACAGAATATGCAAAATATTAGTTAATCTGAGTGAGGGACTTAAACTAAAATATTATATATTTTGTCATTTTTAATCAATTTCCAGGTGTTTGCAGGATGTGTGGGAGTTTCTGCTGCCAACTCTAGAGAGGATTACTGCATAGAGTAAATCAGGTGTCATCACACCACTTGCTGTTAAGGTTAAGCCTGTGGTTAACTCGTTCTTCACACCTCCTGACACAGGTCCTGGCAAATGAAACTCTGATGCCAATACCAAAACAACTTTCTATGGCGTCATGTTATGTTACCTGTTGAAGGCGTCTGGCAGGGTGGTGGGGTATGACAGCGAGCTCTTCTCCTCACTCGGAAGCTTCTGTTCCACAGTGAAGGTGTGATCATCAACAACCACTGACATCATGGCAGGCAGGAAGCGGGTCACTACCTCCAAATCCTGATAGTGGACGCACAGAAAGGCCAATCAATGTCAACAAAAAATGTATTGATAGCAATGACTCCATATCGGGGCATTTACATACATCAGAACTGACTTTAAAACCTCATGTAATTGCATGAACTGATGCAATGAGGTGACATACTGTACGTACCATACGAGGCTCTTTAAAGACCTGACTGTCAATCATGTCCCACGCCCCTTGACCCAGTGACAGCATCCTCAGCAACAGCATCAGGTCCGGACTGTCCTGTTCACAGAGACAACAACTTGTCATTCTGTTGATACTACTTGAGGCAGAAAAACTCTCTGCCTTTAAGAATTCACCTAGCTGCATTTGAAAAACAAATAATACTGTAACACAATATAGTCCACTTCACATGTACATTGCACGAATGGCCTTGGTGGTATTATTCTCAAAGAATCAATAAGTCATGTAGTCCAGAAAATGGTAAAAAAAAAAAAAAAAGTTCCCCAAAGCCCAAGCTGACATCCCCAAATGTCCTTTCCACAACCCAAAGATATTCAGGTTACTGTCTGATAGAGGACTGAAGAAAGCAGAAAAAATTCACAACTGAAGAGTCACAGGTTGCCTACCCCTGCACTACGCACACACATGTCCCATCCTGTCGCATCACTCTTTTTACACAGATGTTGATTCAGCTCCATTTCTACCTCTGCTGCAGGCTCAGAAGCAAACAACAATGACCTCCCATTCCATCTTCATACCTTTTATACAGAATGGAGAGGCAACATTCCCACCTTGAATAGGCTGTGTAAAAATGGCTAGTCTTCACTACACTGTCTTCTTTATAGTGACATTGTTTCATCCCTATTCACATTTGATATTTAAATGTGCCCAGTGGAGTTTTCCTGTAAACACACTTGTGTTCACATTCAGTGTTACTCATCAAAACACACTGAGGTCAAACAAACATGGCGAATACATTTCCTTCCAAATAAAAGATTATTAATTATTATTAAAATAGAAGAATTTAAAAACTGCATTTTTAGATCCATGTGTGCTTCCTGAAACTCTTCTTCCTTCTCTTTGCTGGCTATATTGCTTGTTAAGTTTCTTAATGGATCACTGCCACCAGCTGTCAAACACTGGAACAGCATGACACCGTCAGCATGATTGTATTTCACGTATGCTCACCCTGGGTAAGGCGTCCTGACTCAGCAGCTCTTGCAGATTCCTCATGATACTCAGGACCAGGGTGTTACAGGCAAATGGGTCACACAGGATCATGGACAGGTCCCTGGAATGCACAGACAGTCTCCAAAGATTAATTCATACTGTGACGGTCCCTGTCCAACATGTTGATGTGTTGATGTAGTGGACAAGTTATTGTTTTTTCTGTGTGTCCTTGAAGGTACCATCAGCAGCGAACCCGATTAGGAGCATCTGGGTCAGGTGCTCGTCCCAGCTTTGCTCTGGCTCTCTCTCATTTGGCTGCATCCCGCCAGCAGCAGCACGTTCTTAGCTTTTGTTTGTTTTCTGCTTTGTTTTCACTTGACAACATTTACACCTCATATTGCTCACACATCCACATTTACATTACTGATGTTTCTGACTGACACACTCCAAAGCTGTACTTATTACCGCAGTTGTTTAAGTTACTATAATAAATTCACTAATTTCTTGCCATCTATTGTGTCCTACTCCGTACTTGTCATGGCCTAGGAGCTGGGTTGTGACAATACGTTCGTTACAGACAAACAGCTCTGTTCGTAAACTTAAAGCAACCCCCTCATCTCTTACCCGAGGACTTGCTCCTGTCCTTTCTTCACCCCGTCCAGGAAACCCTGCAGCTCTCTGGCTCGCTTGCCGTCCACAAACTTCTCACGGATGCAGGCGTCTAAACACCAAGTGAACTGTCACCGCACAACATAGAAACACAAAACAGGAAAAACATATAACACATGGCCACAACACAGGAAATACAAGGCTCTTTGGTGGTTAGATGCTGTTATTAAACAGATTCACAGTCACTGTGGGTGTTCTTACCTTATGGCAGGGGTCAACAGAGCAGATCTCACTGATGTCCAGGTCGTGAAGAGACATCAGCAGCTCTGCTCTTAGCGTGCAGTAGTGGACATTTCGCGTTCGCAGGAAGAGTGTTCGTAAGAACTGCAGCACCATGTCATACAGCTTCACATTCTTTCCAATCATCTGGGTCAGCTTTAGGACCACCTACAACAACAACACAATCAATCACACAGAGATCCACGTCTCACAGACTAAGGCTATGTTCACACTGCAGGCACAAGTCGGCCAAATCGGATTTTTTTGTGTGACTCAGATCTTTTTTCATGACAGTGTGAACAGCACAATGCACAAATCACATGCAATCCGATCTACTCAATTCTGATTTGGGCCACATTCATATGTGGTCCAAATCCGATACTGGTCGGATTTTTGTAATGTGACATTAGTGTGAACAGTCATATCAGAATTCATGTCACATATTTAACAAAAAATGTGAGCAGCCAAACAAAAAACAATATCAGATCATTAGATCTGAGGAATAAATCAGAACTGAGCACTATGGCTCGCAGTGTAAACATAGCCTTAGACATCTAATCTAATGGCTATGACTCACCTCGCCTTGGCGTCGTGTTTTGGGAGAAGGGCTGAAGAAATTGTGCAGGATGGACAGGTCGCTGCTGAACAAAGCCGCTTCCTTCTCCACAATGTACTGCTTTAGGAGGGGCGAGACTTCGTCCCCAAACAGAGCCTGGTTGTCCTGCCAGATCTGCCTTTTCACCTCCACGGCACACACCTTGTACAGCTCCTTGTCAGCCATCACCATCTTCAGTTTCTTCTCTGGCACCTGCAGTAGGGCGCACAAGATTTTGGTCTACCAATTTTCTGTACACCAAATGAAATTAGGCACAGGGAGTCATGGTTCCCACAGGGTGCATCCTAATGATATTCATCTAGTGCCATCAGTTTCTTCACTACACTACACTACACTACACCAAACATACACACGGGTTACAAATTAAGGAGCAGGTAGATGTGTTAGCCTCAGACGTGCACCTCACCAGCCACACATCAGAGCGATGCAGACCGCAACAACTGTGATTGGTCCCATTGGTGTAAGTGTGCATTGTCTGAGAATGGGAAGCAACTCGTGCAAAACCCAGATGAGTTAATAATGCTGCTTTAATGGCGTTTCATGGGTGGCGGGGGGGTTAAAATGAAATGTGTAAAACACATGAGAGATGAGGGAGAGTTTTAGTCAAAACTCAACACAGTGACATAGACTTTGCAGTGACACCAATATGTCACCACAAGCCCCTTTTCTTCACTATATAATGAAAAGAAAACTGTTTCTATATATTGTTAGAAGTCTGTGATAACAGCACCGCCAATTAAATGTCACTGCGGCACACACCCTTGCAACAGGTTTCCATGGTCTTCAAAAGGAAGGAAATAGTCCTAAAAACACCTGCCTTGGGTAGATGCTTCAGCACCTGCATTACCACCGGCTGAATGGACGGCATTTTGACGAGGGGAAAGCTCTTCTCCAGTAGCTCTTCAAGCTTCCTGTATCTATAAGCAGAGTGAAAGAAAACAAAGAACAATGGCATCCAAGCTGGTCCCTTCAGAGAACATTACTCAAAGTCAGAAACGACCACCGAGCACACACCTGTCCTCTTCCTTGCCCTCTGCGATGATGGCGACTCGCTCCATCAGCTTTTCTCGGAGCTCGTCAAAGACAGACTGGTGGAACTCCAGCCGAGGCGTTCCGTGGAGGTCGAGGAAGGGAAGAGCAGACTGAAGGGTCGGAAGCAGGATGCCATTTTCCATCTGCAGTAGTGTAACGTCATTAGGGGTTAGTTGTAGCTTTAGCTGGTCGATTCAGAGCCAGCTAAATACATGTTCCCTTGCTTATTTTCAATGGCAGAGAGCAGGTAAAGACATTGAACACACAAGTATTATATTTTAGGAAATGTGGCATATAAATGGTTCACCATGCTTCATTTCGTTTCTCTGGCTCCTTTTGACTGAAATCGCCTTTTAGGAATAACAAGTGTCTTTAGGTGGTATCCTTTGACATCTTTGCTATTTCATGCTTATTAGTTAAATCTATTAATGAGCACATTGATAATCAGCAAAGAAGAAGCCAAAACCTAAATAAAAAGCAGCTGTGTGTAAAAGTGTGACTTATAATAATATATAATAAAATACTTATTTAAGACTATTTAGGCTATGTGAAGGAGCTGCATTTATCTATATTTCTTATATACTGGATGAATGTGTTATACATACTGGTCCAGTATGCAACTTATACATGTGTGTGTAGAAACAGGAAGCAACCAGTGCACATCAGGGTTTGAAATTGTGAAGCGGTTCCAAATTGTCCGGTCATAGATAGTGGAATTTTTAATGAGGTAGAAGGAGCGGATGACTTTAGTTACCTCAGAATGAGCTGTTTATATCTACAGAGAGAGCGGGTCCTCTTCTACAGAGTCCGCCATGTTAGCCGCCATGTTTCTACAGTAGCTCAAAATAGACAAACCAAACACTGGCTCAAAAACTTGTTTCACGCCTAACATAGTTTCTCCTACATGCTTGGAAGGTAATTGTTATTCAGTTGGTTGCAACTTCCCCACCAAGATGCCACTAAATGCTACATGCTGGTCCTTTAAGGATTTTAATGTGGAAATTATACTTATTTTGTGGGGGAAAAAACATATCAGATGCACATTATTGTTCCGAGCAGATGATTTGTATATACAGAATGTCATAACACATGTCTGGAGGGGATCTTTAAATCAGTGATTCCCAACCTGGGGGTTGAGACCTCCACTAGGGATCACCAAAGCTTCATTGGAACGTCTTGATTTTAAGGGGTGTAAGAAAACTTAACTTAGAAAAAAAAAAACATAAACAGGCCTATATCTTAGTATTTTGTTAGTTTATGTAAAGAAAAGTAAATGAAATGATCAATTTTAAATTTTATATGACATATTGAAGATCTAAACTTTGAAGATCTGAACACAAGCTATATTCACAGAGACTTCCCTCTCTGTCAGAAAACAACCAAAGAGCTAATAGAACAATGAGAAGAAAAAAAGAAGCCTATTAAGTTTGTATGATTGTGAAAAATATAAAAGAACACAATACAGAAAGAAAACTGTATAAAACATATGAGGAAAACTCATCTCTCATGCAATATTCACAAAAGTAATCTGCACAAAATGTATTCAAATCACTCGTTTTACACAAACTCTATAAAATATGTCACTTAGTCAGGGTCGTCAGTTTAGGCAATGATTAAAGGGAAAGGGGTTGGGAACCACTGCTTTAAATCATTATGCCAAATGGTTTGCTGACAAAAAGCCCAAGAATGAAATGAACTCAAATAAAGTGAGTATCACTATAGTTCTGTCATTAACATATCCCATGAGATGTGATCTAGGAAAGGAATAATTCCCGTTATACTTGGAAGGGGTTGCCATCTTTAAAGTGAATCCTTTCTTTCAGTAACTCTCGGCTGTATCCACAGTCACACTTCACTTGTTCTCTTCATCTCCTCGTCTGCGCGAGGCGCTCTGCGAGTTGACAATCTCGCGCATCTGCGCGGGTAAACGTGAGCGTGCTAGAGACTGAGCTGGCTGTCTTACATTGTGTTAACTAACGTTAAATAACGCTACATTTACACTGCCAACGTTATTAGCTCGCTACACCACAATATATCGCCAATTATATGACTCCATTTGCTGTACACACTACTGAAAACGTGTCACACAATGCGTCCACACTTTAATGTTGTCTTTCATAGCAACAGACAGACAGACAGACAGCTATGTACGCCGGTGTAGGATATTCCTCTAGGAGCTCACTACATTCACATCATTTGGGACACTTCAATGCTCAGACTCGTACTCACAACGTACACACAACGCGGTTAGGAGCACACACATTTAAAATTAGCGGTACTGTGCCAACAAACGGCTCCTGGGGGAGCGTTACCTGAAACTGGTCAATGGCTTTCAGAGGCTCGGTGCAGTTGGTGAGAGTTTCTTTAAGATCCTCTCCGTTGGAGATGCCGAGCTCAGGAAGCCCCGCGAACATGTTCCTCTGTTTAATCATCAACTTCCAGAGTTAGGTGTGAATAAAGGGCTCGAACATGAGAACTTGCAACCGAGAACATGCACGCTTGCTACAAAACAAACCAGCACATTACGCCGTCCGCTGTCAGAGCAAACTTCCTGTGTTGCAACTATGTAGAAGGTCCGTGAGAAACACAAGCGACCAAAGAGTTCCGCGCTTCATTCATGCTCTGCGGGAAACATTAAACTTTAACTTTTTAACTGTACACCAGTTGGTAAATTAGTCACTGATTGTGAGTATTTCTGTTTATAAATTACATTATAAACGTGTGTAAATTATAATGACCACAAACAGGATTCCACATTGATATTTAATCGTTGTTTGCTGGCTTCCAATGACTTTAAGCACCTGGAGACTGTAGTCATCACTTTGAATGGTGACCAGTCAGTCATTTTAAAACATTATAGACACAGTTAGGCAACAGAATATTTGAGACATATTGTCTTGTCAGTGTTGGGTCAGATTCCTATGATTTTTTGAATTAGTAACACAATCCATTGGATTCCAAAAATATAGAATCTAATGTGAATACCTTGGGATTAGACTTCAAAATCAAACATTGAAAATGGTGCACATTATACTAAATAAATGGACGCAACCACAAAAAACTGAAATAAAAATTCTAAAATATTCTCTTTAAACATCTTAAAACATTTTCAGTGCAAATAAAATTCATTACAGTTGGTCAAATCAAATAACACAGAACGACTTCTGTGATTATCCATTTTTCTGTGTTGAAAACCGTTGTTTTTAATAGGTTTTGTGTGTGCTTTTATTGTTTAATAATCGATAGACATCTGAAGAGTGAAAGGAAGGCAGGGGGAGAGAGAAGAGATGACACGCAGCAAAGGGCCACAGATTAGACTCAGATTGATGGCTGCTAAAGCCAGGACTCAGCTTTGGTACATGGGACGCCCCTGTAGACCACTGTTGTTGTCAGCCTGGTTAGACATGTTTATCATCCATGTTGTCAACCATTTAGAGGCTGTGTGGGCATATGTGTGACACAATGTATTAACACAAGACCGACCCCCATCTTCTATCAAGATATATAGAGCCCAGAGGGTTAAGGGTCCAGTGTGTAGGATTTTAGTGTCACCTGGCAGTGTAGTTGCAGATTTTTAAATTTTAATTAAACTTCCTTATTTCACCCTCCCAAGCACGGAGGAAAAAGTATGGTGAAAAACACAAAGGTCCTATCTACAGCCAGTGTTTGGCTTGTCCATTCCAGGGTACTGTAGAAACATGGTGGTTCAACATGGTGGCCTCCATGGAAGGTGACTTGCTCCCTCTATAGATAAAACCTGCTCATTTTAAGGTAATGAAATACAATGATTCTTATTTTCAGCTGATTATACACTAATGAAAACTTACCTATGAATATTATATTCCATTTCTGACAATAGATCCTCCTCAATGTTACACACGAGACCGTTAATAGAGTACTGGTTATCATTTATCAAATTTACATATATTAAAGACGTAATTAAAATGTAATCAAGTAGTGCGGCGGCTGTGGCTCAGAGGTAGAGCGGGTTGTCCACTAATCCGAAGGTTGTTGGTTTACAACCATTAACCATCCTTTACAATGAAACTATATCCATCTGATTACATAATCCTGATTACATGTACTCAGTTATTACCCAACGGTGATTTTAGCAAACACAGTGAAGATATTAGAAATGGATCATGAATCTTTGCCTAACTCAAACAAGAAGCCATAAAAGACTTACATGTGACAGATTTGATAATCTGATTAAAGGTGTGACTAAAACATCTGTTGGGGAAAAAAATGCCCCCACAGATACTTTAACAACAGCTGAAGACTCACTGGAATGTAAATTATTTGGGTTTTGTTTTGGATGTTGTTCTTCACATCTTTTGAAGCACATGTGGGCTGTTTCTGTCACAACAAGGAGAAAAACAGACAGTGATGCACTAATGTGGTTGTTGTAAGTGGGTGTAATATTACATAATGAAAATGAAACATAAAAAAACACTTTATTCTGTAGTTACATTTTTTTTACAAAACATCACTGATGTTTGCAAAGAAAATTGTGCAGGACACATTGTACTGCCTTGTCGATTTCACTTCAAGTACAACAAGAAATCTAAAATATTCTTGTATTCTTTTTCAACAGATATTGAACGTTTTAGACGCACATGTGCACATTCTAAGAGGACTATAAATTGGGATTGACTGGGAGGTGTGTCACTCTTGCCCTTACATCACGCCTTCCCTAGCTTTTTGTTTCTTGTAGGTCAACAGAAGGTATCCTAGTGCAATGAGGAGGACGACGATAAAGAGGAAGAGAATGCCAGCCCACAGCCTTGGGGGCAGAGCCTTCATCAGTTCTAGTCTCTCTGCAGGTATCATGTTACTCAGATTCAGCATGTACCCCAAAGCCCAGCCTACAGACGCTCCTCCTGCCTGTAAAACACAAGAGGGGATGCACTGAAATCACAACAAGCTTCCTGATTTCAGCACAGCAGACTGTTATTACGTGTCAATAGTTTGAACACACAGACTGAAATCCCAGCAAATGATGGACAAAAATGTTTAATTCCTTTACCACTGACCGTTCTCTCAAAAGAGATGGAAGGAAGGGAGTCATTATCGAAACGGTAGCCCTTCGTTAAGAGGACCTGGACGAAATTGGAGACAGCGCAGACATTCTTCATGTATTTCCCAGGCTGCTTTGTCTTTTCAGTCATCTGTAAGTGGAAATAACAGTGGGTTAAGATTTTTATTTTGTTTATAAAATCTTAATCCTGTTGGTCTTGTCTAACATCACTGTAGAAATTTCTGAAATATTCAAGAGTAAACAACATATGGACTTTGGGGCTGAAATAAGGGTCTATTATTAAGGGCCCAGTGATTCTCAATTTTCAATAATGCACCTCTTTTTAAATATTTCTTCCACCGGGTACCCCCTCACCAGTGCAAAACATTTTTAGCCTATATACCGAGGTAAAATACAGCACTGCACCATCAGTGTCTGATTTCTAAACAATACCCTTTTATCTGTAAAATCACAACGCTACGGGAGAGTTGCAGCTTGTTGAGGTAAATCCCATTAAAACATTATCTTTTCAAATATTTAACCACAAACTGACAAATTGGGGTACACACAACCCTATTTGGTGGTTTTAGACATGAGCATGTTTCATTTTTAAGCATGAAGAGCTGTGTGCTCCAAAGTACTTCAGAGATGGTCATGTTGCAGACAAGTCGGATTGCGTCCTTCAGTCGACTGGGGGATGTGATGGCGATGTTGGTGAGGCTGTTGATGTAGCTGTGAGTGAAGTAGAAGGCAGAGAATGCCTGTGGAGAAACAAGACCATCCAGATTTAAAACTGACAGCAAGGAAGGAAACATTTGTAAGATGCCTTTAGAATTGTGACAAATTTTTGCATTCCCTTCCATTTTTTACCTTACATCCATTTCTATGGCTGCTGATAGTACAGTGGTGCATATACCCATATGGGTATACAGGGAATACCAAACTTTGGGCAGGGGGACTTACAGTAGCCTACCTAACAAGTATAAGGGTCTACGAATATGCTAGCAGCTCTGAGGCTGAAGATAGGGATGGGAACTGATAAGATTTTATTGATACCAACGCTATTATCAATTCTACTTATCGGTCCGATTCGTTGTCAAGTCCCTTACGGATTCCTGAAAATGTTCAGTGTAGAAAAAGCACAGGTTTTCATCATCATCCCAACTATTTTATTATCTCTGTCTGAACACAATGTAGAAATAGAGTAGAGTTATAGTGGTCTGAGTTTCTTTGTGAAATGAAGCCACGTTTTAGACAATTTTTTCCACTCTGCCATGATATAAAAAATAAAAATGGTAAGCTGTGGGACCTGGACATCCAATATGTGTATGTCTGGGGAAAACATTTAATCACAGGTTAGTTAATGATGTTGGCATGGGTGCTGCCCGTGCCTGTAGAATCACAGAAGAGTCTTAGTGATGGTGTTTTTTCTGTGACAAAATATGGCTGTCCACTCAAAAGATCACCAGGAGCAGAGGGCATTTTAACCTCAATAATTCACATAAATTGAGCTGATTTATCCTGTAATAATGAAACATGTAAGCAGCATAAAGTAATGTAGGAGGTGGAGATAAAACCAACATGTTTTCTGCAAATGCAGAATCCAAAAAGTCAAAGAATACAACAAACGTGAACATAAAATGTTTGGCAAAAACCACTAAAAGGCTGCCTCACCATGAAGCTTCCTTTCACAGGGGGCTGGAAGACTCCATCAAAGGAGCACCTGGAGTAATTGCAGTCTTTAAAGGAGAACATCTCTACAACATTTTTCAGGCAGTTCTGGTACTCTCCTGTGCCCACTACTAATACAGACATCTGGGGGTTAAACTTGGCTGGTCTGTAGCTCTTAGTACACGGAGAATCAAAGACATCCTCCCCCAGCTTGATAGACATGTTGAACTGTTGTGGATAGCAGGGGTGGGACACGTTGGCCTTTACACCTTGAGTCTGAAAGACGCAAAAAAAATAAAAGTTAAACATTCTTCTGGTAAATATGAAAGGAAACTGCAGCTTTCTACAACTCCAAATAAAATGTAGATTATGTAAACATTTACAACTGATCAACACGTACAGTGGTTGCTAGTATTTACTCTTTGCATGCAATCATACATTATGTATTTCACTTTAAAGCACATGTTGACAACTTTATCTATAACATTTTGAGAATAATCAACAGTGTTAATTCCAAATATTACAGTGCAGTTTGAAGCACTTAAAGGTTTCATCTCTCAAACTTACTTTCAATTTTGTAGTGTTTATCACTTTTGGCTCAGGATGAAGCTGACTGCAGTTCAATCAATGGCGTCATAGTGGTGTCACTACTAACATTGGTTTTCTAAAAATTACATATAGAACCTTTGAGAAGGCCAAGACAAGATAATTTCTCAATTTATATAGTATCAGAAGCTTCTGATATTATGTGAAGGTATAATATGAAATATGATAGCCCTGTACCTCAGTGGCAAAATCTGCCTCTGGTCCAGCTTCATATTCAAAGCACTGACAGAGTGGTATTTATCCTCTCTCCACACTCTTTGCAAGAA